AGTGTCACTCCACATCCGCGGCAAGGGATAGGAGTCAAACTGGGCTTGACCAGAAGGGACGAGGGAGCGCTTCATGCCATTTGCGGCGACAAAAGGCCCCACGGTCTGCAGTCATGGTCCAGGATGCCAGTGCTTTTCGGGAGGATGTGGAGGGTGGGCGGGCTGAGGGGGAGCTGACAGAGACAAATGGCTGAGCAGAGCGTCAGTCACAGGATGCAGCTGCTGCACATCAATCGCTTCCTCATCACAATTAGAATGATCATTGTTGAGGAGCAGGCACAGAAACTCAAGCTTCCATTCGGCTTATTGAAGGGTATGAATACAAGTCTTCAAGTGAAAGACAGCCAGACATTTCAGACATCTTTCCGACAAAAACTTTCAGAACTTAACTTGGGTATAGTAGATGCGTTCTTTCTTTATGCTGCTAAAAAACACGAGAGAGCCTGTAGAGTTAAATTCAGTTTATTTCGACTTTGTTCATTTCTTGTAGCTTTGGCAAATGTTTCTGTTGGTCATGATGATATCGTACTCATCAAGATTATTGCTTGGATTTAGAAATGAAGTGACATTGCTGCCCAGTATCTCAAGGAATTAAATTCATATTGGATGATTTTGCATCTCGATTTATGTCTTATGCCAATGTAGCTGTCAGGGTGGTGGCTGGGTGTGAGGTGTGTCAAACATCCATGTGGGAGACTGGAGTTACTTAACCTTAACCATACTGTATGTAAGTTGGTTTACTGACCCTGTGATTTACTGTTTACTGACCCATAATTAATATACCCCATTATTACAATGGACAGATTGGGAAATGCTTTTACCATTCATCTTTGTTGACAATCATGTTTTTTTTAAAACCTGTTGGCTCTTCTGACTGTTGGTGTTTCTTGCCCTGTCTGACTTTTTTTGGGATGTTGCAGTGTTTGATGTAAAGTACGACACTTTCACTGCAATGATGGACAAATCTACACTATTAAACCCCTTAACTCCGATTGTCACATATTCGCATCACACTTCTTCCTTTCAGACTGCAGCTGAGATAGAGTATGTATTTCCCCAATGCCTGTTTGCGCATATTCAGTACATGCCTGGGAACCTTTTGCAAGCCCTGGTTTCTCTTAAATGCCTGTTGCTGCTAATTTGCATCATACCTATTTTTTAATTTTTTATTGTAAATAAATTCAGGCATCAAGGGGTTAAAACCTAGGTTGTAAGAAAACCAGATTTGAGCTTTAAAGGTAATAGAATGAATGGTAAACCAAATGACTGCTGTGCCTAAGATAGCAAAAAAAAATTTTTCAAAAAAAATATGTTTGGGGCATTTGTGCATTGTTTAAAATATGGACAGTACAGAAGTGACAGAACCGAAGGAGAGAGAGTGAATAACATGCAACAGAGGCTCTAACCCTATAGTTTAATCTGTTTGCCCCACATGAAATTCTGCTTTCAGGTATGGATCAAATCTGGACTGAACATCTGTTCTGAACAACTGTATCCTCTGCTATAAATTGCTTGTAAACGTAAGTGTGCAGTTTACTGATGTTTAATTATAGGATTTCAGAACCCACTAGATCAAAAAGTGATTTCTCACCACTAAAAGGCAGTTTTTGTCATTGGCAAATGCAAATGTAAAGGCCGGAAACATAAAGTTTATTTAATAAATAAAAAGAATGACATTCTTCCATAGTTTTCCTTTCTCACACACTACTGTGTTTGCAGCCTGTTTAAAGACAGATCACCAGTTCCCATTTTTGTCCACCACTTTGACTGAGGCAGTGCTTTATTTTTATCAGGAGGAGATTATCAGTTAAAGTAGACATCTTTTATCTTTTGGCTCCAGGGAACAGAATTTAGAAACAAAGAATGCTGCGTAGATGATCTTTAGTGTTTGACCTAGTATCCTTAATCAATTTTTTTGCCAGATCTTGATGTCTCCGAGGTCGCAGCAAAGTCACCCCTTTGAAGTGAGTTTCTCAACATGACTTAATTGATTAGGGCAGACAGTAGGACTTCCTTTTCTTGGAAGAGGGAATTAAATTGGAAGACAGAGACATGATTATGTGAAGTGCTGATTAAATGAGAAGACCAAAACCATGTAGCCTGTCTCTGTTTTACTTCCCAACATCCGATCATAATCAGGGGCTCTGATGATAAAGGCAATTACATTACTTCAACAAGCAGAGAACAACAATTTAACCAATGGAGGAATAGAATAATTGGACCTAATTGTCTATCTACATAACTGCATTAGGACAGAATCAGTCCTCTGGGGTCCATACACAGCCAAAAACACAATGGGAAACACAGTGTGATTAAAAGAAGTTGCAGAATAAAGCAAATAGTTGTCTACAACCTTCTATGCCATTACAGAAGGTTTGACCTCAGTGGGTGTTTGTTTTTAGCCGCATTTCTGTATCCATTCCTCATGACAGAGGTTAATTTGCACTGCCCCTCCCTTTCCAGCTCATCTCTTAGAGAAGTGGAAGTTTTACGCAGCCTATTGAAGAAAATAGAGTATATTGTCCCAAATTGATAAATGCTGTCATTCCTCTCAGAACAGTGATAAAAACAAAACTAAACTACCTGAATGTTGTTGTTTTTTTAGGGTTTTAACATTGCATGTTAGCCTTTGCATTTTGTTCATTCCTCTTTTCTTACTAAAATTGGCTAGTTGGTTTTAATTGTTTGTAAAGCATACATTTTCACCTTTTCACCACTCAATGTCAGACATCTTAACCAATTGTAATAATGGAAGTCATTACTGGAAGTTCTAGACTTGTTTTTGGAACTTATGGTGTATAGACGACAGTCATCTGAAATAATACTTATGTAAATTTTTCAGTTTACATAATTTTTTGACTATAATATATTAAGACCACTGGAAAACATACTGAGGGATTATCACAGACTGGTATCTGATTAACCAGGACACTGTTTTGAAACTACCTAAAAAACGTATTGGTACCATAGCTCCGTTTTGTGGTTTTGATGTGTCTTGGGGGCATAGAGCTGGACACATATGCACACATTACATTGTTTTGTCTGGAAGGTGTGGTTCTTCTGGCATGATGAGGAGTAGTCACGAATGTGAAGGCAGTTGAGTCTGAGTCAGACTTAGCTACAGCTGATCCTGTGTGTGCGAGACCAAAGACCATGATGCATGTGTGTGTGTGTGTGTGTTTGTATAGGGAAGTTTTCCATCTGCCTGTTGAACATAATCTAGTCTCAGACGTTAATTTCCTTTGGTTGGTCATTTTTCACATAGAACACCACAGATGTGTAAACTTAGAATAAAACTATTAAAAATCAATAAAAAATGGTCATTTTCAATTTATGTTTGAGTGTGGAGGAATGCATGGACAGTCTACACATCTGTAGCTGTCTTTCACTGACATCTGGTGGTGATATTATACCATTTAGACTTGGGTGTGCTTCAGTGTCCTGCTAAAAGCAACTGTCAGCAGTACTATGCTTAAATTTGTTAAAATATCATACTGAGATTGTCCTGTTGGTCAGCGTAGCCCCAGAGCTCCATGTTAAAACTTTAACAAACAAAATGTTTATTTCCATGCTACTACTGTAGCATATACTGTCTATTGCAAACAACCCAGAGAGCACAGGAGTTGTGGTAGGTTAAGTTGAGATACGGACATGTCAATGGCCCCAAAAGTTTACTGAGTGGTAGTTGGTTTGTGATAATAGTTTTAACTGCAACTTTGTTTGGGAATATCACTTAATACAGGTGACACTGTTCTCACATGATGCATATTCCTGGGCCCATGTAATATTCCAGTTTAGGAATACCGTACAGAGAGGGAGAGGAATTGAAGCTAACAGGGCCTTCAAGCAGGGTAATTCAGCCATGCCACATGTCTTGTGGTGGTTGAGTTGTGGCTTAAATAGTCCTATTGCTGTGGGAGACTGTGCTGTGGCCATTAAATTTGGATGGTTCCTCACTATCCTGTGTGGAAGGGGACAGACCGGCCAAATTTTGCTGTAATCTGCTCACATCCACTTTATAAAGTGCTTTGTTATTATTAGTTTCACAGATTTTATTTCAGCCGCTCTGCAGTTTCACTGGGTCATATAGAGTCACTAGCCCATCAGTTTGACCAAAATGGATGTTTAAGTGACTCAGATTTAGCAAAAGTGGAACTAAGAATCAAAATGAAGATATGTATAAGAAAGTGGCTCATTATAACTGCACTTGAGCTGCCAAAATGCAATGCTGGTAATCATCTTAAGCCTCAAAGCTCATGGAGAATCTGATATAAAGTATGTCAACTACATAAAGTACTGTGCAAACGTTTTAGGCAGGTGAGGAAAATGCTATAAAGTAGGAATGCTTTCAAAAATAGATATGTTAATAGATTATATTATTATATTATACATTTATTAATTAACAAAATGCAAAGTGAGTGAACATAAGAAAAAGCTAAATCAATTCAAAATTTGCTGTGACCACCCTTTGCCTTCAAACCGGTATCAATTCTTTTAGGTACACTCAGACATGGAGACAAGCCCAAGCGACTCAACTGTCCATAGAAACACAGGAACTGGGGTGCAGAAAATGGCAGCAGGTGCTGTGGACTGATGAGTCAAAGTTTGAAATATTTGGCTGTATTAGGAGGCAGGTTGTTCATGAATCAATTAATTGTGTCACAGTGGAATCAATAATTTTCCCTTTTTGGAGGTGATAATTGGTGCCCCGAGGTGAATTTAATGCAAGTTAAATCCTATAATATAATATAAATTAATTATTTCTGATTTGCTAATAATCCTGCTGCATTTTCATAACATTAAAATTGTATGTTTGACTATTTTGCAAAAGCAAACTGAACATAAAACATGAAAATCTCCCTTTGGACTCTATAGTTGTATGTAAAGTTAAAATACTGAGCCAAAGACTTATTACTTATAACCTTCTATGAACACCCAAAATTTTGTTCTGTTTTAAATTTCACATCAGGCACCGAAGACGCTTTTAAAAATACAACAACTTAAATATTTCCCTTGTTTATTATCAGCAATTAGTCAAATACATATAAACAAACAGTAGGAAAAGGACAGCGTTCATCAGCGACTTTGTTTTTCACAAGGTTATCAATATCGCTTTCAGCACACCCACATTCATGCCTCAAGTATTTTTTTTTCGTTTTGCTAAACATCTTGTGCAGTAAAAAAGGAAACACATTATGGAACATGAACAATAAATTAAACAAAAACAATATTTAGCAGTTTATTTACAACTCATATTCCAAGAAATATAAATTAAACATTCCGTTAACTTACTAGCAACACACTCCATACAATATTAAAATGCCATTCTCTGGCAATGATATGATGTCTCATACTGATAAATAATACACTGTTCACTTTGGGTGACTGGACTTTTAGCTTATCAGGCAGCACAGTATGTTTTCAAGGTACTTGCATACAATGGTTCCTCCTGAACTGAATTTTTGTCAGTAGAAAAGCTTCTGGAAAGAACTTCACACCATCCTGGAACACTAACAATCACCCAGAGTGATACAGTTGTTTAAGGGCTAAATGCTCTTTAAGACATGGAGACCACAACAACTCTCCATTGGTGAGGTCTCTCTGGGATACATCACCGACTTAGCTGTCATTAAACACTTGTGGATGAATAAAACCTGCAAGGCGGAATCAAATCCTTTTTTAGACAGTTTTTCTATAGCTGAGAACGGAGGGGAACCTCCATCAAGGATGTCCTTCCAGGTGTAACAGAGCAAACAACATTAGACTGAATTTGAGGCGATGGAGACAGGACATCTCACAAAGACCAGTGTAAATTCAAAATGAGTCAAGAATCAGACCTTTTGGATGATTAATAACAGATTAATAACTTCCATTTATAACAACTGACTTGATGGATTGTAAAAAATTAAAAATAAATCAATAAATCAATGATTCACTAACATTTGTAACCAATAACCTGATGGCTTATAAAGGATAAACATCACCAAAATGTATCTATTAAGCATTAGTAAAATATCAATATTAATAAAGCCAATAGTTGTAATTTATAAACCCTTTATACAATGTGCCATATAAGAAAGTAGAGGGTGGAAGGATGTCTCAGAGATCGAAATTGATGGTTCATTTGTGCAATCCTTGTGAAAAGTCTGTAAGTTTATCACCCCAAAGGCAAACAGAGTGTAAATACCAAGGGTAAAGTCATGCAGGTTCCATGATAGCCAGGTTTATAGTGGGACATTTCAGTTAAGTCAAATCTGAACAATCTGTGATGAACAATGTGTCTAAGCTGCTAACAAGAACAAACAGTGGAATTTATTTCTGGCTTCCACTATTTCCATTGGTCTACTTCAAGCAATGGATTTAACAGCTACCCCCTGACAGCAAAAGCCTGATGAACATGACGGGACTGTGTTGTCTTTCCTTACATTGCAAGTTGACACGGATCAGTGAATTGCTCCATTGATCAGTCCAGGAAATGTTGGTATACTAAGGGCGACATGATACATCGGTTTTGTTCTCAAAATGTGAGAAAAAGAAAGCTCTGTTTACAGAATTTGGAGGTGCCTATGGAACAGAACTCAGTCTCATCCAGTCCATCAGACTCACTAAACGCTTGGGGCCGTGTTATGCTAGAAGAGAACTGGTCCATATGACTTGTTGTCCTACAACGTCGGGGATAAAAAGTGTGTATTACTTTTCCAAAACTGCCATACTGTCATAGTGAGGGCTAAGATGCGAAATATGCGGATAGCAGCACACGTTTTCAGACAGTCTCTCCTGGAAGAAATGAATGGGGTTGTACTACAATTTGAAGGAGGTGTGAAGGTCGGATTGTGGTTTCGGAAAGATACAGAAATGGGTGGAGACGCCCTGTGAATTTATTTGAACAAACCAAGCTCAGATGTCCCAGCCCTTTATACATCTGAATACTCTTCTTTTCCTTCCATATCGCAGCTAAAGGGTTTAATAAAGGAAGGGGTTTGTATCTCCTGCAGCTTGCGTCAGTGGTAGTAGTGTATATGTACTGTATACTGTATATGTGTATAATTTACAAAAGTAAAAGATCATGATCTTAAAGCAGTCACAGTCAAAAAATTGTCAGAGAATAAATGAACTCAGAGAGTTTGGGACATGAAGCTGTACATACTAGAAAGGTCAAATTGAGAAAGCAGAAAAAAATTCTATTTACATTGAGTCCCATTGTATCACACACAAGAGGTAATAGAAGAAAAATATTAACAAACATTGGTGAGTTCTGTTTGCAAAAAAAGTCTACTTTTTTACATTTCTAGCACAAGACTGTACACCATCTTGCATTGAGAGAGGCAGTTTTCTATGGCAAAGCTAGACATAAGTACATATCATGCTGCACTAATATAGTGCACAATTATGCCTGAAAAAATGGATAAGGGAGATACAGGCAGAAGTGGCTCTGGGGATCATTATGCTCTTGTTCTCTGGTTTTATCTTTTCTTGCTGATGGACCCAGGCCAGAATCTTCTTAATTGGACAAAGAACGAATATCCTAAACAAATGATCCCACTCAGATGTGACAAAATGAACAAAAAGGACGACCCTCTCCAACGACTGTGGTTTGGATGTTACCGGCAGTAGTAGATGGCAGAGAAGCAAAGGCAGACTTCCAGAAGAAGATTAAGAAAGAATGAAGGCTCTTGTGAAACAGAGTATCAAAATGGAAATTAAAAAAGAGGACAAGGGCATCAAGGCTGCTAATGGACAGAGATTCAGTCTTGATCTTTGAGGTTCCTCTTTCTATCAGAATCATCTTCCTAGGGTGTCCACCTGTAGTTTGAACAATGCCCGGAAGCAACCCTGATATCAAGGGGTTTCCATAGCAACCCTGTGTGTCCTGAATTAGGACGCATGTCTGTAGGTCAGTGTGGTCAGCAGGAAAACTTCTACATGTCGGCGTCTCCATCATAGGCCAGAGTCAGCGGCTTCAGCCTGTTGTTCATCTGCCGTCGCTGCGGCCTCTTTGGCTTTTTGCTACAGAACAAACACACAAGAAGAGAATGTTTAGAGAATCTGGACACAACTGTTCAACAGTGGCTTTGCTTCAGCCTTTCCAACAAGCGGAGCCTTCAGTGTGAGAGGCATAGCACTGCTGAAGCTACGTCAGGATGTTTCCTGTTCAGTTTGCCCTGTATGGAGCATACCACTGTCTTTCCATTTTCTCCAAATCACATATGTTCTACATTTCAAACTGATTTTTAATGTGTTCCCCTTCCAGGCAGCCACTGGATTTTAAGTTAGATTTGAACAAGTCCTCCAAATTCAACATCAAATTCTGCTGTTAGACAACACTACAGTAACAGTTATGTATTTATAACAATTTTGCGCTAATTCTGTAATTTTTACTGCCACTAGAGGTCCTTATCAGGTAAATTTAGTTTGTTTTAGGCATTTGAACAATTAACAATAATGAAGTCATTCCCCTCGTGAGAATGACTATAGATACACAGACAAGGGGAGAACTTCAAACCCAGGTCCTTCTCTCTGGAGGGTGTTAACTACTGTACCACTGCGCTGCATCTGTAAGAGTAGATGAATTATATCTGCACTGTCATACCATGTAGGAATAACTTTCAGTTAACAATAATAGCCAACAGAATGTTGACCTTGATGGATTAAATAACTGAAGTAAGTTTCAGTTGTTTTAGAAAAGTGGTTATTTTCATAGTAGGGAAATGATTAGCAATAGTTGCCTGGAAGGCAGAAAAACTAATTCAATCCCTAAAAACAGTTTGAAATGAAACCTTTATTAGATCTACAGTAAATACAGTAATCAGTGCTTATATCACTATTAAAATGCGACTTGTGGAGAGTGACAATATTTCACATTAGTTTGTACAATATTTTGGATAATTGGTTTAATCCACTTGGACACTTGGATGAAAATAGAAATGGAAGACAATGACTGCGTCTACATGAAATGTGATTGGATGACCGCAAGATGGCAGCAGAGGACAGATATTACAATTATGACTGCCAGCAGGATGGCATATCCAGAGTTTGTAAAGCTCTAATGTATTCTGATGTTTGAACAGTGAGATCCACTCAGGGCAGTACCTGTCATTATAGACACTTAAGTAATGTTCACAGTATTTTTAAACAGCTTGGCCAACAGACCTTTTTTTTTAAACATATGGTGGGTATTTAACTGGCTCATTCTACTAGTCTTACAGTCGGTGTATTCATATTTGACTACATTAAAACCAACAAAACATTTATTATCCTATTATTCCTATGGCTCGCTTCAGCCCTATCAGCCTTAAAAAAAATTAAATAAACAGAGACCAAAACTAAAAACCTGTGCTTTGTGACTACAACCTGCAACCTGTGATTTGGCCCGAGACGCTGCACTGGATGGAAGAAATAGACCCAGCACATAACTCATCCCTACACCACACATTTTTGCTTTTACATTTCAGTCTGAGCACAGGTATAAAAAAAAACAAAAACAAAACACATGCTACAAGATGTTAGTCGGTGAGTATGTTTGAGCTTTGGACAGAGCCAGGCTAGCTGTTCTGGACTTCTCACCTCAAGGAAATGATCCACTGAAATGAGTGAACAGGCACTGGAGGTGTTTGGGCACAAATGAATGTCAGGCGCTGTGAGTTACAGGAGGGTGAGGTGAGGCCCTGACTAAGTGATGAGAGTTTCAAAGTGAGGTGGTGGGGGTGGGAGTGGAGGTGACTGCTGCTGCTGCGGTTGTGGTGGCAGCGCCTCATATTGCTGCTGCTGCTGCTGCTGCTGCTGCTGCTGTTGGTGGAGTTGGCTGTGCCGCTTTAATTCATCTTGCTCTAGTTTCTGGCAGGCAGGACAGGTGTATGGCACCATGTAGCTGTTTGGGTCCATCCAGTAAACCCCGTCTGAGGGGGACCTGGACCTCGACTTGCAGCAAAGGCAACAACGACAGTAACTGAGCAGGGAGCACGAGGGTGAAGGTGGAGACAGAAAAACAAGAAATGAAGGTGACAAATGATGAGGGAACTCAAGGTAAAATGAAAAATGAAGTGAACTGAATGAATGAATGAACAAGCAGTGATGTAATGGAGGTTACACCCAGGTACAATCTATTAACCACCCAGGCATAGTTCGCTCGTTTGATGCCTTATTCCAGACATGGGGACTAGGACTAAAGTCAAGGTCTACAGCTTACAGTGTCCGATAATTAAGCCTGGAATAGCACTCGCAAATATTAAATGCTTAAAGCAGAGCTGATAAAAGGAAAATTGGTATGAAATTCTGGCATGTTTAATAAAGACATTGATGATTAGGGTAAAACCAGCTTGGTTTTTAAAAACATCCTCTTTGCTGACATCAGTGTTTCCATGAATGCATGAAAACAGTGTGAAGTAGTAAAGCCTGACAAAGTTCCTTCAGAATCACAGGAGATATTAAACGACCGCGATGAGTAAACCAAATAAATGAGTTGTTGAAAAGGTCCTTTAAATAATAAATACAAACTGATAAACTGGCTAATAAGATCTTATTACATAAAGGTAAAATAAGATCTAATAAGATCTAATAGAAGTTCATCAGTGTTCAAGATCTAAGTATCAGTTACATCATTTAAAGTTCTCCACAATATCTATTTGTATTTATACTTTATGTAACTTCAGTGGAGATATCCACTTAAAACCTTTAGATCATGTCTATATCTTATCAGAAAAGCAATAATGGATGCTTTTGAAAACTCTTTTGTTTCAACAGATGGGTAGTTCCTTCATCCATTACTTCACTGAATGTAGGTGAATGACGGCATGAATAGTAACTCATGTGATGACAGAAACAGACACAGTTAGAACATGTAAGTGTACATTACCATGCTAAGTATGTCATGGAGATTATAAAGACCAGCAGCACAAACGCTCCTGCTGCCACTCCGTACACCCAGGTCTTCAGCTTCCCATCTGCACAGAGAGTCACACACACTAACTATAAATACACTGCAGGAATATAATATAACATTTCATTTCCTTGTCTAAGCTGAAGGGGGCAGTAGAGTTAAACACATGATACTGTGTGGAATTCAGCCGCATTTACTGATTCTGATACACTCAAGTGTGGCGAACTGGTGGTCATTGAATCATCAGTGTAACACAAAGGTACACACTACAGAGCCTTTCACACCAGTGTGCAGCACAGAATGAAGGGCAGATGTTATTATGTTGCAGCGCCTCCATCTGGACGCTGTGATGGTTCAGTTTTAAGAAAAGCTAAACATTACACACTGTTACATGTACGTGCTGTACATAAGGATTCCACCCATGAAGTTTTCATTCTAGAAGCAGCTAGTTATTTCAATTTGACTCCCAAAACGACATAAACGACATAATGTTTCACAGACAAATTCAAAAATGTGTGCCTGAACAAAGGGAGGTCAAAATCAAACGTAACAGTCAGCATCTGGTGTGGCCTCCAGCTGCAGAAAGTACTGCACAGTCCAGCCTTTCTCAGCCTATTGTGTACAGTCTGAGCACTGATAGAGGGATTGTGCGCTCCTGGTATAACTTGGGCAGTTGTTGCCATCCTGTCCCTGTCCCGTAGTGGTGATGTTCTGATGTACCAATGCTGTGCAGGTGTTGTTACACGTGATCTGCCACTACAAGGGCGATCAGCCGTCTGTCCTGTCTCCTTGTAGCACTGTCTTAGGCGTCTCACAGTATGGACATTGCAATTTATTGCCCTGCTGGTGTTTTTCAGAGTCAGTAGAGAGGTCTCTCTAGTGTTCTAAGTTTTTATAACTGTGACCTTAATTGGCTGTGTCGTAACGACTGTTCCACAGGTGAATTGTTTTTGGTTGATTGAACAAGCATGAAAAACGTTGTTTACAACCTTTACAATAAAGTTCTGTAACATTATTCGGATGTTCACAGAATTATCTTTTTTTGCTGAGTTTATATGACCAGCTACAGGTGTACTGGACCTTAAATACGTCACATGACATAAGTCGTTAAGCACGTGGTAAACGGTGTGACATGGTCGCAGTTTGGTAGGTTTAGGCAACAAAACTACTTAGTTAGGTTTAGGAAAAAATTGTGGTTTGGGTTTAAATGTTACGTGCCACGTGACTTAAGTCCTGTGTTTTTTTATCCAGCCATCCACCTCCTAACAGAGATGGGGACTCAAGTTAGAGACTTGGACTCGAGTCGACTTAAGTCGCACACACAGTGACTTCAGACTCGACTTGAGACTCGTCCTAGAAAGACTTCAGACTTGACCCGGACTCGAGGTGCGGGACTCGTGAACGATGTTTATTTTTTAGGAAACATCTGATGAGCTTGATGTTATTCCCCTCCCTGCATTACCTGTAACCTGCCTTTAAAACCTTGGCTTGGCTTTAAAACTTCATACAACAAGGCCCAAACAAAGAAGCAATGAACGCAAAATAGGTTAGTAACCTGGGGTGAGTAAAGATGTTTAGCTCAGCATTGGCCACCTAAAGTTAGCTTGCTTCTTGCTTCAGCTACAACCTACGAGAGGTTAACTCCGGCTGTCGTTCATTATGAATAGATGAATGAGCGTTTGTTTGAACTTGTGGTGGTCGATAAATGTAATCATTTACGTCCCGCTGGCTGCCATCACGTTAATTATTAATTTTGGTTGCAAACAGGTTACAGGTTTATTGTTGATCATGTAACGTTACAGTTTTATTTAGTTAACCTGGGTTTGAGAGTCTGGGGAGTGTGTTGACTTACAGTAGTTAATAAGCTGTCATTAATTGCATTGTACATTAGGCTACATGGTTGTGCTCTGTAAGTGAAAAACAGGTTACAGTTACAGAATCCCTTATAGCTCTGCAGTTTTATAAGCAGCCTGGATTGAACGCAGCAGGTGATACAACATTCATGATAACCACGAGTGACTTGAGACTTGACTTGGACTCTAGCTCAGAGACTTGACTTGGACTCTAGCTCAGAGACTTGAGTTGGACTCTAGCTCAGAGAGTTGAGTTGGACTCTAGCTCAGAGACTTGACTTGGACTCTAGCTCAGAGACTTGAATTGGACTCTAGCTCAGAGACTTGAATTGGACTCTAGCTCAGAGAGTTGAGTTGGACTCTAGCTCAGAGACTTGACTTGGACTCTAGCTCAGAGACTTGAATTGGACTCTAGCTCAGAGAGTTGAGTTGGACTCTAGCTCAGAGACTTGAATTGGACTCTAGCTCAGAGACTTGACTTGGACTCTAGCTCAGAGACTTGAGTTGGACTCTAGCTCAGAGACTTGACTTGGACTCTAGCTCAGAGACTTGTGAGCATCTCTGCCTCCTAATGTGAACTTTCTAGCTCTGTACACTATGTCAACTGACTTCCTCCTTTGCTATCGTCACACGGCCACTGGAGGCTGCGGTCGAACAATAAACGGAAATATGGTTCATAATCAGCTGCTTGCACAGTCGACCTTTGACGTTCTTTTATCCATTCCTTCCCTCCTTTGTTTGACCTCCCTCTGTTTCTCTGGCTATTAACACCCCTCCTTCCACTCCCCTCCATTTATAGGTCTGTAACCAATGATTTTGGGCTCTCAGCAATCACAGATTTCCTCCATGAAATTGAATATATTTTAATTTGGTACAGATTTTGTCTCTGTATGTTCTGCTACTGTTTCGATGTGACACCATCAGAATCCAGCATTTACTCATGTTCTTATTCAGACTTTGCTTCAGTAGGTTATGTCATCATGTCATTCAACATCCTAAAAACAGCGCTTCCAGTGGTCAGATGTATCAGGCTGTGTTACCCGGGCCAAAGGGCTGCAGGAACCAGGTCCGTCCCACCCTCCCTGGTGTGCTGGCTGCAGGCTGAGTGGGGTTGAGGGCTCGGATGGTCTTGACATCAGCCCTGTTGTCACCTGCAGTGGGGATCTCCAGCACCGGGATGACTGTACACTGGTCCAGCAGGCCGTCAGACGTCATCACTTCAGTGTAGCCCTCCTCACAGCCGCACACTCCTGCCTGACACAGGAAGGAGGAAGGTTAAACACGATGATGTGGACAAATCAGTCTTTCACTTCTTACACCCTCTGCAGTCACCAGAAACATGTGACTTTTGTCTGTGTATGAGCAGTCTAAGCAGTCTTTCTGAAAAGGAAAAAATAAGTTTTACCCCCCCCCCCAGCCGGTTTTCTGACGCACTCTAATTGAATAGTGCTTATTTCCCATCTGAGAGTTTTGTTCAAGGTCTTCCAACTACAAAGGCATCTTGTTTTTGGCTACGATAAAAACCAGACATGTTAGAATACTGACGTAGCATCTGGGGCAGCTCACAACAACTACACCATTTGTCTTGATTGTAGAGGTCTTTACGGGTTCTTTTGAAACCAGTAATTAAGACCAGGGAAGTCAAGTCAAGTCTGACTCTGATTAGGAATTGCCATGGTTCTTAGGTATCTATCACATCACATGGTGCATCAAATTGTGTAGAGAAAAAGACGGAGAAGCAGACAGAGAGTGTGAGTTCTGTGAAGAGCAGGTAAAATAACATATTGTTATTGTTGCGCTGCTTCTTCTACAACTGTGGCTGCTTGTTAATTAGTGGAGCATCATGGCAGTGTTGATGTTCTCTCTGTGTTTGGGTCTGTTTTAGAGTTCTGCTACTCAGACTGAATCCAGCGTTCAGGCCATTTTGTTTGTTTGCAAAGCTTCAAGTTCGGGTCAGCTTCAGGTTTGGTTGCTGTCATTGATTAAGAAATGTATCTCACTCTCTTTCTTTCTTTACTGCGGCGAGATAAGGTTTTGTTTTTGTGAGTTAGCCGTTCTGTTGGTGCAAAGCAAGCACATCACTTCGTCTCTGAGAAAGGACAAAAAAATGAAATACACACAGCATGTTCAACAAATCATGGAGCGCCTTTGATAAAGATACGATTTAGCTGTTCTCATTATAAAATCAGCTCAGTAACAGTGCTGCAGTCTGACGCTCCTGTCTATTTTGTCAGACAGGGTGTGTGTTTGATTGTCTCGGGTGGGGTGTGTGTGTGTGTGTGTGTGTGTGTGCATGCAGGGAAGCCACCCCTCCTCCACATCTCTCTCTCTCTCTGATCCCTGACTCATCACCCTGCAGGGGGTCCTCAGCTCCCCGACACTCTCTGGAGAATAATCGGCCTCAGAACTCCCTGCATTACAAACAGCTGCTGCGCACGTCCAACAGCAGACAGAGAAGGAAATGAGGAAATGATCATCTGCATCTCCTGAGTGGCAAACAAAGGAAAAGAAGTGCATGGTGTGTGTGTGTGTGTGTGTGTGTGTGTTGTCATGTTATATATATCTGGATTCAGTCTCTTGGGGAAGCTGCTATAATGTTCATTTATCCACAGTATATATTTGCCCACACTCCTCTCATCCTCCATACAGCTCTAGCTTCCTTCTAGCAACCACATCTCTGAATCACACAACCACGAGCTAAAACACATTTCATCTTCTGTTCTGCGGTGTGTAGTGCATCATGGAGTACGTTTGCACGGTAAAAACCTCAACCTCATATTAGGGCTGGATGTTGTTTGAAACTTTACGATATAAGTGCCAATACAATACCTCAGCTTCAGTCTAAAAACAATACTTTCTTCAATACCTGAGTTTGAGTAATACAAACTTTTTTTACACATATGTTTTTATTTATCAAAATATGCCAACTCAATGCTAAATGTCTTACTACAAGAACCCAGACAGGAAATAAAATGGCTCTGATTTGATATGATGAGCAATAATATAACTCAATATATCAATGTGAGCGTGTTTCTTCACAAATGATTTGTCATACAGGGGAATGATTGTTAGCTGAAGATGTTTCGTGTTTACATATATCATTCACTGCAGCATTAGAAAGGCTGTCTAATCAAAGAATAAGAAACGTGTGACGACCCCTGCTTAGTCTGAGGCCCCATCCACACTACTAGAATTAAAACGAATACGATCTCCGTCCACACCAGCGTTTTAGCTGCGTTTTGGAGTTGATCTCCGTCTTAAAACGACTGAAAACGCACAGCTCTGGCCTGTTCAGGTACATTGGGCATGCGCGTGCCGGTGTAAACATGAAGCAGATGGTCTCTTCCTGGTTACAGAAGATTTGGCGAAAGAAAAAATAAATACAGACAAAGAAGGTTTTTTTTAGCTTGCACCAATAAGGAGCTGGGACTGTTACTGAATGTAACACGGGAGTGTGGTGGCGGAAAACAGAATGGGAGTCGATGCAAAGTAAATACGGCGACATGCACAGTACAAGTGTAGGCAGATAAGTGTTATTTGCACGGTACATAACATTTTAATAAAAATACCATGTCAAAAACCCAGTCAGTAGCATCATGTTTCTGCTTTGAATGACTTCTAGGACCCAATCAGAGAGCCGAGCGTGAGCATCGTTTCTAAAGTCCTCCGTTTTGGCCCGTCTTCACTAAATTTCACCGCTATAGGTCTTCGTTTACGCCGCTGTAGTCTGGACGGGAGGTGCAAACGTAGCAAAAGGTCTCCGTTTTAATTCGAAAACGCAGTAGTGTGGATGGGGCTTGAGTGTCCAGTCAGATCTGGAGCACCTGGGCCCTGTGCTTGCAGGATATAAAAGCTCCAGCTTCCAGTGTGGCTCGCTCTCTTCCCTGCCAGCGCCTGCACCTCCTTTGGCCATTTTGTGTGCGTTCCCAGTTTTTAACATGGCCTTTGTGTAAAGCGTTCTTGGTAAGTTTTTGATACTTTGATCTTTAAGATACTTACATTACAGGCACACTAGTACCAAAAAAGTATTGAGGTTTGAGTTCAAAAACATAACCAGATGCCACACCCTCAGGTTTGACTAAAATATATTAGCTTATAAAGGTTCCTGGTCAGTGTTTACTGCAGAGGTCTGTAATATGATGTGCATTTTCTCTTTTTGTGTAATGATAGATTTATTGTATCATGGGAAAGGTGCTGGATTTGGTTTAGGCCTAAATGATTTTCTAAAGAATTTTTGATCAATTTGGAAAAAAAAACACTGACAATTTTGTCAAAAAGAATCTCTATAGATTAGAGATCAGCCCAATCACTCAACATTCTGCAGCTTCAGCTGAAACATGGCAGCAGCTTTACTTTACTGCAAACACAAGTAAAACAGGAATGTTCGTTTTTCTGTATTGTTCATGTCACTCTACTGGACAGCAGATTCCTGACTACAGACTAAAGATCAAAGTGCGTTGTCCGTTCCCAGTTTCTCAATTGTCTGAGCAAAACACTATTGATTATCCTCTTCTTCTCCCTGAATGGCACTTTAAATTCTCCCTTGGCATTCACAGCAAGTTTAGAAATGGCCTGACATCAAAGGATAAGAAAAGCTTCAAACTGCTGGTAGAGGCAAATATCCGCTCATAAGAATAAAATGTTCATTTTAATCAAATTCAGCTTGAGGCTGCATATTTTCTTAATAAGACATACTGTAGAAACAATGCTTAAAGGGAAGTATTTAATTGAACTGCTTTTGGTCTCAGAAAATGAATTTAACTTGACAAAAAACTGATAAATTAACTGTTGAAAATTAAATGTACTACATGTTAAGAGAAGCGAATCTAGAAAGATATAAAATCGCTGCTTGGTGATCTCAAGTTCCCAGTCATGTCCCTTATTCCATTTGCAAATGAATGGCGCACCTGGGAGTGTTGGGCTTAAAATGAGGTGTGGTCAGGCGCATTGTTGTCACACTGCTCATCACACTCATAGGGCAGCAGAAAGCGATTGTGGTGTCGGTCTGGTCTAAAGTCAATGGCGCAGTATTGTCCTGCTATTTTATTTAATATTTCAATCAGAAGATATGCCTGCATTATGGGGTCTAGCATGCAATCACCACACGGGAACCATACATAATCTTATTAGTTGGGTGTGGGTTGCAGGTGGGTGGGACAGGGTGAAGTGTCTCCTCATTAAAAGAGACGCTGTGCACATTTCCACATTTGCCAGCTTTAAAGCAGGCGTTCTTTACCCTGCAGTGCTATAATCCAGGTGTGTTCTGATTCTGAGGATAATGGGAAAACAGCAGGTGGCAGCAGCATTTGCGTCAGATTATTGTCTCGTCTTTCCTCTAATTTCTTTCTCTTTTCTACTACTAGGTGCACTGCTTTCATCCCAACAAGGGGTCTGATACTCAATTGGGTCTACGTTCTCGCAGCCATATTGGAGGTCTACAGCAGTGGTCTGCAATAGGCGGCCCGTGGGCCAAAGCTAGCCCACCAGCAATAATATCTGGCCCGTGGCCAGATTACTTTGATAACAGCAAAAAAAACAATAATTAAAGTGGCTGGTGATGAAACAGATCTCAGTCATGACAACAAAAGTTACACAGAATCACTTCCACCTTATCCAATTCCAAGTTATTGTGCCTAAAAAATAAAAGCGCTTGTACATTTTTGCAGCAGTACTTTATGTCGTGTTTAATTGAGAGCTTTTACTTTGAAAGAGTCTCTGGCTTGCTTGACACACCTCTGAAAAAGCTATCAGAAAATGTGAGATTGGATTCCCCTGAACAAGAAAAGCAGGAATTTCCTCTGCCTGGAGATACTGGGGACATGAAAATGTTGGAATATAAATGGTCAATTGACGACGTTCTGGCGCGCCATCTAATGACTTGAAAAAAATTTGGTCCGCTGCCAGACTTATTCACCGCCTGGTCTACAGAGACAGCTTTTGGGCTTTGGACTGCTGATTAGTTTCTTATACGGGTGAAAGAAGTTGGACAGACATTTATGCGTTGTGTTTTCACTGGAAATTGTACCTTGACCTGAGCTGCAGAACGTTGCTAGCTGCGGCTATTAGTTGTATGCTAGTATTAACATTGGTTGCTTTGTTAAGTCAAACACAATCCCAAGGGAGTTATACTGAGGCTGCTGTCACTTTATATATGTCAATGATATATGCATAAATACATTATTACATCAACATGTCTCCATTGGTTGGTTTTACATCTCTTCTTCAGGTCTCATCAAACGATTCAATGGAAATAATCGGATAGAAAGAGCCACTGAATGACCTGACTACTTCTAACAAGCATGAGTATGTGCAACAGCTGCATGAGGCCATCAAGTGATGACGACAATTTGAGGCACAAGGTTAGAACAGGGCTTGGTGGGTTAAAATGTTACACTGAGAGCGGATCAGTAAAGCTAGTAAAAGACTAAACCTCTACTCAACATTGGATTATTCTTTGCTCTAGGGGTCCCAAGTATATACTGTATATTAGATATAAAATAAAGCTTCACAGAAAATACCATCCAGGACAGCAAAGCAGCAGCACTGTGGATGATGAAGACTGGATCAGACCACAGATGCAATACTGCAAAATTTCATCACTCCATCCAAAACTCACCTCTGTGCACAGCGAGCGGGGCTTGGTGCAGGGCGGGTCACAGGATCGGTCAGCCATCGGCTTTGCTGTCGCTGGGCATCCGCCTGTGGAGCAAAAGCCAAAAAGGTCAAACGCAAGTGTCAGAGGTTGACAGCTGGTGTTTCTGTAAGACATTAGAAACAGTCAGGCATTTGCTTGTAGTCAATCAATAAAAAATATTACATCCCAGTTTCCTAACTGCTTTTCTTACACTTCTCCAGTTTGCTGTCAGTGCCTAATCTGTTCCTGTTTCTCGGAAAACAACACTCACTTAGATTCAGCTCATTACAGTAATACTTACCATGGTAGTGATGCTGGAATAAGTGGATAATTAGCTCCATTTGAAATGCACAAAAAATTCCATTCAAATCCCAGACTGAGTCAGGCACTTTTTAAAATTCCTCCCTGCCAAACACACTGCATGAAGTCTGCGAGTATACAGTCATCCAGAACTGATTTAATACCCATGAAAGATGATTTATTTTCCCCATTCATGTGATGAGTTACAGCATTAAAACTGAGACCTTTAAGAAATCTACACAATAGCCTATTCTGGAGTACCATTACACAAATGTGTTGACAGTCGTCACCAAGTTAAAAGGCTTTAGATCTGCTATGCGCCTCTTCAGACAATCAGGGAAAAAGCAAGAAATATATACAAATATATTATATTGTAATTAACCCTCCTGTTATCTCCAAATTGACTAACATCTTTTATCCTTGAGTGCAGTTTCACCCCCGCAACTTAAACTTTCAGAACATGATGATTATTCAAAATTTCACCTATGTTTATGTGTCAGGTACTTCATGTTTCTTTGTTGACTACCTAAATAGACCTTTAAATAAAATATAACCCCACATCCCCCATACATCCAGAATACTTATTACGCTGCTATGGAAAAATATGCAAATCACCATAAATTCTCATTGACCCCTTCACACCGATTGCCGCGAATTCGCATCACACCTCTTCCTTTCAGACTGCAGCTGAGATAGCGCACATATTCCCCCAATGCCTGTTTGCGCATATTCAATACGTACCTAGGAACTTTTTGCAAGCCCTGGTTTGTCATTTATGTCTGTTGTCGCTAATTTGCATCATACCTACATCATACCTGAATTTATATCTATTCTATGTTCTATAGACAAATTAACAATCTTCACTTAATTTATCATCAGCTTGAAAGCAAATGAAAACAAAAATAATACATTTTCACGTATATTTGTAAATAAAATCTTTCCTGTTGTTGCTTTCAAAGAACAGGTTTTTGGTATTTATAACAGAACACCGCTTTCAAAAATAGACATGTTAATAGATTATCAATTAACAAAATACAAAGTGAGTGAACGGAAGAAAAATCAAAATCAAATCAATATTTGGTGTGACCACCCTTAGCTTTCAAAACCTAAAAAGTGCACAGTATGTGTATGTTATGACTCTGGACCAACATGGATGGACCTGCAACTTGACTGGCTGGCAGAGGTATACAACAGTGGGGTGGCAATTCTTTAAATCTCATTCCACTTACAATTTTATCACTAGCAGGGTTCTCATTCAGTCACTAGGTAATCAGGTTCATGTAGGGTTTTGCTGAATTGGAGACGATGTAGGGCATGGAGTGTGCATTCCCACTGTGGATAGAATTAACTGGATATACGTAGACAGACAGTACTACTGACACTGATCCAAACAATCCAGACATTATACATGTCTGTGAAACCATGGTAATCTATCAGAGAATGTCTATTAGGAGGCAGGCTCATGGAGAGGGCTGAGCATGAATATTCATGAGTGGAAAGCCACTGATGCGAGGGAACATTAACAAGAAGGAAAAGGATGCAGTGCGCCATCAGAGTGGCTTCACATAGACACGCCATCTGGAGTTGTGGGTGCGCTGACATTCATCGGTCACTGTAACTCAGAGCTGAGTGTTGTATGCTCACCTAACCCAGAAATATGACATGGCTGCAGGCCTATATGAAGCAGGAGCTGTAAATAAAAGCAGATGGCCTGACAAGAGAAACTCATTTTTTCAAATAAGCCTTCATTCTATGGTATACCAGCTAAGAAACGATGCATTGTGGGGAACAATGCTATAAGTGCTGAGTTTAACGCTGACATGTGATGGACAATGGGATTAAACTCTGGCTGGGGCACGGATGTGTGCTGCGGATTAAAGCCTCATCTGCTTACAGTTTCCTGGAACTCACTGTCAAGACATGCTTGGGGGAGACAGTTTTAAGTTACCACATTATCACCCTATCACCAAGCACAGTGCAAGATCTCCTGTGTCAGAACCGTGCAGTAGCAGTTTAAATAACTTAGCTTACATTCATGTTATTAGTCAAGACCACAGTCTGGTCTACACATGCTGTTCAAATATTCACAACTTCAAGGGTCTGATATGACATGGATAGATTTGATTTTGATCAAAATGTCTTGTGTTGAACTAACCGGATTAGTTGAGAATTATTAAGTACGAATAAAAACATGACATATTTCATTCTTAAAAATTCTGTTTGAAATTGTACAAAACTTATTGACGGGTGAGACAAAGGGAAAGTAATTGTTTTCGTTTTGCTAAACAGAGGGTATTCTAGATATTCTGGAGAGCAGGAAAGGTTCCTTTATTCATTTAAGGTCATTAAGTAATACACCAGCTTCAGATCTAACAGCTGTACTCATTTGGCTCATTCAGTGTAGCAGTGTAAATAACTGTTCATGCAGTGTAGCATAAATTAAATCATTATTCAATTTATGTTTTACTCTCCCTCCGTCTGGTCCCCCAGCTGACTGAGGGCAATCTTTCAGTCAGATCAATTTGATTTTGCCACGACCTCTCTGAGCCAAACATCTCTTTGCTGTCAGTGTTTCAAACTGAGCCCATCAGAAGTCCTATTCCACATCTCGTCTACCCAGAGCCATAGCTCTTTACCCCTTCAGCACCAGTGTCTAGACTCATTCAGGGAACATTCCTGTACAGCTCATGGAATCACTTCCCTCTTAAATATGGGATATGATCACCAAACGCTCTTTACTTTCTTCAATCTTTCTATGGTGCATATGCATGCATATATTTGTGCATACAATTAAGCCCCCTTTGGACTGAAAGGTAGTTGGACTGTTCAGTAAAGGTGAATGATTTTACTTATGTGATTTGGTAGCAATGTAAAAAAAAGATTATCATCAAAGAATTTTGAAAAAGAAAAAAGAGTGACAACAGTGATGCAGCAATCTACAGGGGCGTACACTGAGCTGCAGATACTTGGTGTGTGGCACACAGTGCATGCTTATGATTGTTGGGATAAAACACTGCTCTTAGTCCTGGGAACACCTAGAAGTAGGGTGGCTAACTTTATAGGCTAATAATGTTCAGTCATTGTGTTGTTTCATCTGTTTAACTAGTCTTAATTCCAGTTCACACAATAGCTATCGACAGTTTCACCAAGGTAGGCATGCGATGCTTACCTGTGACATTTAGTCCATCTGAGCGCTGACACCAGACTTTGCGAGATGAACCCCTCCATGGTCCAGTCCTCCACTTGTAGTCAAAACACTGGCCCTCTGCAGGAAGAGCATGGTCACAATGTGGCTTATATTGTATAAATAACACCTGTGCTCCTTTGAGTTCCAGTGGGACTCTGCCAGACTGACCTGTACATGGCCGAGCCTCCAGCTCCTGTTCTGGACACTGCAGCAGGTTCTCCGGATCCTGGGCCACCACGGCTCGGGATCTGACCTGGACTGAGCCAAAACCCAGGTCGTCCCCGCTCACACAGCTCAGCTGGCACGGACTCCAGACAGTCCAGTCTGTCAGGTAGCACTCTCCTGCAGAACAGAACGTAACAGTGTTTTTACTAAACCTAAAGCAAATACATTTAGTGGGACCATACAAATAAGAACGAATGCATGAATCACCTGTTTTGAATTGACAAGAGCTGCCAATGACGTATATCGTGAAATTAAATCTAAAGAAGCATTCAAATTATGGAGTTGTGATCACCAAACGCTCTTTACTTTCTTAAACCTTTCTATGGTGCATATGCAAAAAAACACATCCAAATTAAAACACCTATCAAATTCTTCCCCACAAAAACCCTAAATACAATTTTTACAATTATCTGTACTCTAATCTCAACATTGCAAGCAACCTTTAATAAAACACGACACATGTCTACGTTTGAGCGTAAAATTTCATTCTTGACATTGTAAAAACTAGTTTGACAAAAAAAGAAAATCTACTCATATCTTCAGAACTTTCAACTGAATCTGTCTTTTTGTCAGCGTGATGACAACGGAGCTAATTCCATGACAACTGAGGAAAGTGCATCCACTGATGAAAACCATAAGATGTGGGTGAAAGCATAGGAACAACCTAGTAAGTGGATATTACAAGCAAAGAGGCAGAGGGAGGAATTATGCCCTTTGAACTGCTAGACTTCTAACGTAAAAAATCTGTGCAGGAAGTGTTTCAATGACAGTAGCGAGTAAATGGACAGATGATTCTGCGTGCAGGGCGTAGGGCTGGTTGGAGTATGCAGGGCCCTTGAGTTTACATGAAGGTCTGATTCTGTCTGCAGTATTAAATGCATCCAATTATGCAAATGCTCAACATTTGAATTGGAAAGCCTCCATCAAAGGTCAAGTATTATGAGGACTAGTAGATTGGTTGGCAACATCATTACAAGCTGTATTTTTATCCTGAGCCATGGGATATTTGAATCTGTGGCAAAACAGCAAAACTGAATAATACTGGCTCTTTGAATCTGACCTTTCTAAGCCGTCATAAAAGGATATGACATGTTTCATTCAGGTACAGGCACAGGTTCTGTGGCTGGACAGAGGTCAACATCACACAATCAAATCAAATTCTTTCCCTACCAAATTTTTTCCCACCAAAATCCTGATCACGATTTTTACGATAATCTGCACAGAAGCACGAATGTCATATTCTCAGCAAAGAGAAGATTATCTGTTACATGGGTCACACTGCTCCCTTTGTAACGTTAAAACTGCTGTGAGCACATTTCTATACATTCAATTCATTATGAAGGATCAGGTGATAACGAATAGAAATGTATAATCACATTTTCTGTTTCACTTCTATTGAAATAGGTTTCCATCGAAGTGAATGGTTTTGTTTTCAGAAGTCAGAGTGGACACAGGCAGGAGCCAGATCTGAGAGTCCTCTTTGACCTTGTGGCCCCTGCTAAGCCAATTAACTTGATTATGGGCTGATTGCGCACACACACAATTGAAGCTGGAGATGCTGTGACTAAAACCAATAAATGGTGACCCTAACCCTAACCCTGTATCAAGGGTGACCAAACTACAGCCTGCAGTGGATTTTTTTAAATAAACTAGAATTTGACATGAGCCTCTGTCTGATAAATTGCACTGTATGTGCCTTGCACCTCCTAGCTTTAACACTAGATGTCCTGTCATTGCACTTCTTAGATCACTAGAGGTGCTTTGCACAAATACTTGACCTACAATAATTATGGGTTACTAGTCAATGGAAACATTTTTTGTTCCTCAGTTGATTAAACATGGCGCAACTGAAAAGACAGAATAGTGAATGCAGAAAATTTCAAATTTTCAGAAAAAAAATAAATAATAATTTGCTATTCATGGCTCCCTATCGAAAACATTTGGGCCCATACACATGTACACCTTTTTATATACAGTCTATGATGTACACACATGCTTGAACACATACTGTACACACACTAGCAGCGGCTGTAAGCACTGTGCTGTAACAGCACAATAAAACCTGACTGCCGCAAACAGCCATCATCAGCTCTGTAGCAGCTTGTTGCATTGTCCTCCTCTCACCCGTTAACATTGATGTTGCATTGTGTGGCACACTCTGGGACTCTTGAAGCTGCAACAATAAGTGCTTCAACTGTCAAGTCTTTGTTGTTATTGTGAAAACCTGGACTGCTCACTACTGATGGCATTACTGTCATGTGTTCATGTTGTCTAACCAGTTAAATCAACTAGAAAAGCTCAACCGACACTGTCCAAATTAAGAAGAACTTTAACACTGAATCGGTCACACTCATCTAGTTTTAGGTCGAATTTCTGCCAGTTTGGTTTTTGTTTGAGGGGGTCCAGTTTGAGGAGGGTCTAATTGCTGATAGGTCAATCAGATTAAATTTTACTAGAGACAGACTGCATCGTGTGCATCTTTCCAGGCATCTGCGGCTCCATATTTCTCATAGAAGAATTCCACCAAGTAATACTGCCTTTCTCTTTTTGTCACCATTGTGGCACATGGCCTTTTCTTTATTGGAATTATCAATGGAAAAAATCTATGGGAGCTATGTGGAGTTATGTGAGCACACATTGGGATTCGGCGATTGATCCATACAGTGCAAGCATAGTTGGTCGTGCAGAAAGGTTGATGAAAAGGCGTAATGTGAATAAACATAGTGAACGAGATTAACACAAATGGATAATGTCTGCCCAGCACACAGCAGTTGGAGCATCCAACGCAGAATCTAAATTCTTCCTACATTATAACAAAATGTTCAACAGCATTCCTGCCATGCCTCTCAGTATCAGTGTGGTGTGAGCCTCACACCACACTGATACTGCATGCGGCAGAGTTTCCACTGCAGTATAACCTTGGACCAGCACTAGATAGTCATACTCTCCCATACTTCAATGTATTAAAACTGGGAAGATGACTGACCTGGACAGAGAGGATCAGCTGATCTCTGTATGACTGCACTGTGTTAATTCCATCTCTGAAATAGTTTACTAAAAAATACTACCACATAGTGTAACAAATACTAAAAAATAATAATTTATTTTTCATTCAGTGTATATTGGCAATTTATTCAGCATTCAAATTTGATTAAACCACTTTTTAATTAATTATTCACGGTTTTGTGTTTAAGATTCTACGTCATTTATGCCCAAACTGGAATTTTAAAATCATGAGAGAATATTGAACCCTAGTTGTTGTTCTGTTTGACTCCAGTGATTTCTGTGTTTATAGGCTGACTGAAACTGCGACATACCGTTAATTGTTCACAAAACCCATGATATCAAGCCTTGCATCTAAACAGAGCAGAGACCTGTGGCAGTAAAGATGGACTTGACCTGCAAAGCCGGATGAACTGGTTACAGCAGAGTAGCGAGCGGCTTCAGATGAGATTAGGTCCTCGGGTTTTTTAGGGATGAGCTTTACATTCAGACTTCTAGTGAAATTCCACCCTCTCTCACTGTTGGAGCCTGTATCATCTTCTTACCTGGACAGGGCACAGTACAGGGTTCCTGCAGAACCATGTGCGTATCTCCGTCCACTGAGGGTTCCAGATCTCCACACAGCTCATCATCCACCAGGTTGCTGTCCTGCTGGCCTGAACCGTCCGACACAAAGCACGACACATTCCTGAAGCGCATGCCTTCACCACACCTCGCCCCCTGATGCAACAGAAAACAAATATATGTATGGTCAAGCACATCTTAATATTTATGGTAAATGTAACTAACAGCAAATTCAATCATAAAGAGCTACTTGGCCATTTACACAAAATGTAATAGATTTGTCTGTATTTCTTTCTTTTCCCCTGATGGTCTGAATAACTCACTGGATTCGTCTCTGGTATCTCTTTAGAAATAAAGTCTCTAAGATGGTCTGAAAAGTCGCTAAGTCACAGAGACTTTCTCTCTCTTTCAACTCAATCAACTGTATATTTTGCATTCTGTAGTCGAGTGTCCACTACATGGATTAATTAATTAAATACAATTTTCTATTTGATTTATCTCTTTCTCTGTGACAAATATCCATATCACGTATTTCATCCAGAAATCTGCTGCTGCCCGTTAGTGTAATAATCTAATAATTGCTTTTGGGAGGATAATCCTGTACAGCTCACGACATCACCACCACCTTAAAATTTGACGTGACGGTTGTCTAATTGCCAAAGACTTTCCTATTGTGCACCGTGTCAAATAAATTACACTTTAAGACTCTTTTGAAAAATGAAAAATGGAGCCAGGGAAAGGGGGTTACATTCTGAGAAAAAACTGCATTTCCAAAATTAAAGTGCTAAATTTACAAGAAAAAATTTAATGTTCTCTCAGATTATAAAGTCAACTCAGAATATACTATTTTTCAGATGTGCTTCTATGTGATGTGTTATTAAAGGCTCTGTCCTCTGTTAAAAGCAGGATATGCATGGGATAATAACAACAGCCAACACATACAAGCTATTTTCACCAACCATCATTATGACATACCTCCAATTTCACATTTTTAGATATCTTTATATTTATATATGTTTTTTTATTGTTGTTGTGCACCCAGTCGCCAAAACAAATTCCTTCTATGTGTAAAACATATAAGCAAATACCTTCTTATGTCAAGGTATCTACAAGAAAAAATGTAGCTCTCCGCAGCTCAGACAATATTGGCCAATCATGATTCATTCTTCTGACAGACAGCACGATGCAAGTTGACTGACCTCAGACTTGCACTCGGACCATGCACTGTATCTCCAGCTGTAGCATGGCTTCACCAGGCACGGCTTCCACTGCTCCATCTGGGGCGGACATGGCCTCCCGTCACCTTGGGGAGCCTGGATCACTGTCCGCCTCCTCCACAGCTTGCCTGCAGAACAGCAGATTAAAAAAAGGGAAAAATGTCTTTATTTATTCACGAGGACTTGACATGAGTGCTGAAACTGGACATCCCCATACACACAGTGCGTTTGTTTTTTACTTCTATTAACTTACTTGCATCACAGCAAATTACAGCAGAAACAGATCAGATAACCAAACTATGATGAATAGAGCATAGAAATTAGAAATAAACACCAAGTTCTCTCTGAAGCTGAGGTAAATTAAGGCCATTATTTAAGAATTGATGCAAAACTGCACTGTAGCCCCCAGAGGAACACTGTGTTAACATTTCTACTCCCACTCTTGGTGAATTTCTCAAGTAACTTTACGTGAAGAGAAATAAAGTCTAAATTCTCCTTTCCTTTTCTTCTCTCTTAGTGTAATGATTTAACACATCCTCTTCTCTTTCAGCTGACTTGATCTATGTTGCAGTTTCGGGCCTTCATCATACTCCCTATAGCCATTTTGAATATTCATTTTTTTTGTTGTATTAAAATGAAATAAGTGACTGTCTTAGGTTGGAGGACATGAGTGGGTGGGTGGTGGTGGTGCCCTTCACCAAATTCACTCTGCATTTTAACAAAGAGCCCCAGGGAAGGGATGTGAGAAAACTCTCAATTAGCTGCTGTCTCAAAGGAAATGCATGCGGATTTTACCCGTACCACCTAAAACAAATACTACATTCAGCAATATTACTTCAGAACGACACAATATAGAAAAGTAGGTCTCAAAAACCAGAGAATGTTGTACATTGAAAAGTACATTTCAATTCAATTTTGTTATAAAATGTGTCTTTTATACTTTGCTTTTGAATGCAGAGTGAATTTGAAATAGTTTGATGAACTTGTAGGTGATTCTCAGAGCTCTTTGCAGTGAGGTCATTAACTCATAAACATTCTCCAAAGGTCGAAAACCACTAAACGCCATCAAGAAATAGTTCAGCATTTGGGGAAAAACACTAACACCAGGGCCACACTGCTTACCTCCACCTATGCGTGACAGCTACCTCGCTGAACTCTTGCTGTGGTGTTGCTGCTGCTGCTGCCAGCCCTATCTTTCTGCACTGATTTTGCCCTTTTATAAAAACAATACATTATAAGCCCTGTTAACAAATGAAAGGATTCTGTCCACAGAAACGCTAGAGGGCTTTTATTCTGAAATGGATACAGGAGATGTCTGTTACATGCTGGTATGATTTCCATATGACCAAAATCAGATAATATTCACTGACTATTTTTGCTGAAAACAGTTTTGTGTCACACAGGGAGAAACAGCTAAAGTTCAGTAATTAACAGAATTTATCTATTCTGATTGACTCTGTTTGAGTTCAGATTAAAAAGATAAATACAATATCTTGGCAACCAGCGACCAGGTGCAGTGACTTCCTGGAGTCAGGGTTGCAGTTTTCTCCAAAAACTGCATTACATAATTTTTTGGCCACTTCGGACAAAGAAACTCCTTAGCAAGATGAAAACCAACACCTGACACAACCAGCTGACACAAAACAACATAAGCATTCATTTGTACAATATTCACTCTTCCTCCAGCTTTGTTTTTCACTCCACTCACTAACAAAATATATTTCCCTTTAGCTGCTATACACTCCACTTTGTTCACCAGCTAGTCTGCTACATCTGGAAACGAGCGACCATGCTATCAGTGTGCTATAAAACCAGAACAAGCTAAAAAAAACGCTAAAAAGCTCTGCAGAACTGAGGGGAACTGCGGAGCTGGTGATATTTCTCTGGGCTTTTGTCACAAAAAATGAACCCTCTCAAATTGCACATTTGATCCAATGTTCATCTAAAATGAATTTTACCTGGCATCCTCTCTCACGCTCGATAAAAAATAGTAAAGCCCATTACTTGCTGCAAAAAGCAGAAGTGAATCTAGGCCCCATATTTCTGAATAAAGTTCACTGTCTCCATCATCATGTCTGAGTGCTGCTTTTCAATGGTTGCACTGCAGGAAATGCTAGTGCCTTATGAACACAGAAACCAGTCATGACCGCCCATTACCATTCTCATGCTTCAGTGGTCTCCCTGCAGGGGGCCGTGGCAGTGTTTGGAGTTGATCTGTGGGTGGCACAGAGGGCTGCTGGGCAAAAGAAGGCCTTTGCCAGCTTTCACTCTCAGTGTTTGGCTGGAGAACACACAATGTCACGATTATCTATGCACACAGGTTGAACACATCCAGGAAAATAGCTGTGTTTTTACAACGACTGATTGATAACGGCACCTTGCTGCTTCCAGGTATGTTCATTTACTTGAAACAACAAATCCAGCTTATTGCTATTCCTGGCTCAGGAACAGAAATAAGCTCCTCCAGGGAAATACGTCCTCGCAGCCAGGTGGGAGATAAAAGAAAACACAGGAAGGAAAGTGAGCAGGACCTCTCCTCCTGTGGCCTACCTGCTGTTACTCCTTACAAGGAAAAAAATCCTTCTCGCCTGGGGACAGATTAAGATTTCCACACTAAAGCCTGTATTGGTTTCATATCTGCTATTTGCTCTTGTTGCTTCTGGCTGATGCTCTTCTCAAGGACTCGTGGAGAGCAGAGTGCTCCCTGAGTCCCAGAGCACACACTCGTAATGGACCGCCAATCAATGCCCTGATCCAATGGCCGGACATGATAAACTGAAGAATGAGGGTGTTATAGCCCTAAACCAACTGTGAGAGAGATAATAGAGCGTTTCTGGTTTCCCCCATTACCGAAGGCTGACTTTCTTTAGCACACAACTGAGAGCTGAGCACTGCCGACCCACAGCAGTGATGGATCGCCCACAGCTATGAAAGTATTATGCTATCAAGGCTGTGTGAAGAGGTTGCCATGTTGGAATTTTGTTAAAATGTAATGAAATACTATTGATGGCTACTTTAAGCAATGTGTTATTAACCTGGTTTCTTACAAGAAGTCTGTACTTGGACTGACATATAGTATGACCGAGAAAGCTAAGACTGCACTTGCTTTGAAGCCCTGCTTTTAAGCCAACATGGACAAGAATTCTTTGAAGTACACGGACAAAGTCTTATATGAACATTATACAGCAACTGGGCAAACTCCATCTGTGGTTGGAGATCATGTGATATGACTGATCTAGGTCCGTATGAAATCTAATTGCGAGTTAGTTAAATATTCACTGTCTATTTTTGACGGAAGCTGCACAGAGCAGATGAACCGACACAGAACGGCATAGAGAATCCAGTCGATTTTCAAAGTAAAACACCCTGTGCAGACTCCCGATCATACATCAGCAATAAACACAGTTAAAACAGACAATAAATAAACAATTTAACTACGTAGCCGACTTAACGATGGTAGAAGCACAAAATATAAGGACAACTGAACAGAACAACAAAATCTGAACAAGTCAGCAAAATCAGGCAGGCAAAACGCTTGTGGGTTGTAGCCTGCGGAGAGCGGCATCAAACCCGCTCACAGAGAGCTGTTATCTGTAGTTGAAGCACAAGAAAGGAGAAATAAACAACATAGGGCAGCTAAACGCTCCGCTGCTGAAACACTTGCCTTTCTAGTCTTTTCAAATACTCAAAGTGCTTTTACACTACATATTCATTCACTGAGCCTAAGTGCTCAGACAGAAACACACATTCATACACTGGCGGAACAGCCACCAGAGGCAGTCAGTATCTTGCCCAAGGACACTTCGACAAGCAGCCTGGGGGAGGCCGGGATTGAACTGCTGACCTTCTGATTAACGGGCAACCCACTCTACCTCCTGAGCCGCAGCCACTTCAGTGTGAGTTGATGACGGACAAAACCGCGGCCCAGCCGCTGCCTGAGTCTGTTCGGCTGACGTCATTATCCCATGTTTTCCTCTAGCTTCGTTTGTATAATTAACCTACATTTTAATCGCCATCTTCACGATTAGCTAATTGCGTTCTTTCAAATTCACAATTCTGATTTGAAAAGGATTAATCGTTCAGCCCTAGATTGAACTCTATCTTATCAACACTACAAATTAGCAACTAAATGGACCTTATATTATAGATAAAGATTTAGAACTTATAGGTATTGATTTCTCAACTCAAGTATTTCATTTCTGAAACCCAACCAGCAGCTTGATGCTTTTCATGCCATGATTCCACTTAAAGAGGCAATGCAGTATGAAACATTTTAAAAAGGAGACACCACTATTTTATACATTTTACATGTAAAGATCATTTTACTAGCCCTGCGATGGACTGGAGACCTGTCCAGGATGTCAGCTAGGATTGGCTCCAGCCCCCCCCCCCGCGACCCTGTACGCAGGATAAGCGGTTGACGATGGATGGATGGATGGATGGATGGATGGATGGATGGGCTTGGAGATAGAAAGCCTGCATTAGAAACTGGAAGCATGTAGTTTGAAAGACATGGATGTCTATACTCATTGTGATTCTACGTTACTGTTGTTTTGCTACCATACTGAAAGTCTGACCTTGGAAACAGCAGTCTCACCGTCAGTTTGGAAGCTGTTATGGAGTTTTGATCCCATCAAACAATTTCCCTTAGCAGATGAGAGTTGTGGAATTGCAGATGTCCAAATTTCCATATTTCTGAACACTTTAATTACTTCTCATCCATGTTGACTTAAAGTCAATAATGCTTCCATTATCAACTTTTAAGTCCCCAAACTAATTGCAAAATTAAACTGTTGGAGTTCTCTTTTAAGATTTTTCCTGCTAGAGTTTGCTGTGACTGCAGACTCATTAGAAACTATTATTGCTCCACAATAAGAGTTCTTGTTTCTGCTCAACAAACATGGCAACAAGCCTCATGTATTTTTACTAAAGGGATCACAATGTTTTTGCAATTAGAGGTGGAGAAGTGTGCGATGGGGGCTATTCTGTTGTATTTTTGGAAGTCTATCATTGTGGTCATACCTGTAGTTTGTTTACCTTGGTCTAGACCAAACCAGTCAATGATCAGTTGTTCCACATGTGTAAAGGATTCCCAAGAAACACAAGGCCTGTAAACATTAAGTCATATAAACTGGCAAGTAACTAATTCATTTAATAGTTTGGAGTCATCCTACATCTTCGAGCTGCACCGGGGAAGTCAGTTTGGCTCACAGCAAGTCATGCTAAACTTCACAATGTAATATAAGAGGCTGCGTTGAGTAGAGACTATAACTATAAATGGTAGATAAAGTGGGGGGAGATGATGTGTTCTGTATTACAGCGTGATGGGGGAATGGTTATTATGACCAGAGCATGAGCTGGATTTGGCTGCTCTGAAACACCTCAACCTCAACATTACCAAGCGCCAGGTAACTTTGGCATGGAAACTAAACACAACTACACACACATACCTGCCAGCCCGCAGGTGTGGGTGCACTCAGACCATGGTGACCAGTCAGACAGCTGGCAGTTGACGGGACATTCCACAACACAGGAAGCATTCATCTGCCACTTCCTCTCCAGGCCCAGCTGCAACAGAAGACAGCGTTCGTTTACTGAGTCTTTTGCAAAGAAAAAAAACAACAAAAACAGTGGCTTTATCAGGAGATGCTACACAACCCACCTCTTTGCAGAACTTGAGGTCAACAGATTTGCCATCGCTGCGCACACAGTCAAGCATGCGGGTTTTGATGCCGTTTCCACACACTGCTCTGTCACTGAGCTGACAAGTACTCCAATCTGCAGCGAGACGTTTCATCAGCAAAAACAACTCACACGGTCATACAGCGCATCAACCACCAACATTTAATGTATTTTATGGAATCGAGCTCAGGAGCATGATATCATGTTTCCTGTAGATTCTGCTGCCTCTGATAATTGCACGTAGTTGATGCTCACCAGTGATGTTGTAGGAGTAGTGGAAGCAGTTGCTGTTGAGTTTGCAGGGCTCTGTCTCTTTAGTCGGGGGACACTCCTTCTCCTTTCCAGGCTGGCGCAGCGGGTAAGCGCTCCTCTCCCGACTACTGTTCCCACTGCATGGCTGAGGAGCACAGTAAAGCATCACTTCACCCGTACGGTGCACATGCATGGCTGTATTGTTTGAATTTGTTGAATTTGTTTGACAAAAAAGCATCAAGCTTGAAAAAACAAAATTCAATTTTGTATCCAAAAGAAAATAGCAGTGCTACTTGTGGAATAAGAAAGAAATGTAAACCTGCAGTAACTGATTTCTTGGCCACTTTGTAGGCAGCAGAAACAAGTTGTGAACACAACACTGTCATATCACCTCTTAAGTAAATATGTTGAAACAGTTGATCATTCATACATCCAGATCAGAATCAGAATCAGAATCAGAAGGAGCTTTATTGCCAAGTAGTGTTTTACACATACGAGGAATTTGCTGTGGTGATAAGGTGCTACACGCAGACAAACATACAGTCAACATAAATAAATGTAGAAATATATAATTATGGAATAGAAGAACAGATGTTAGCTGGCTTAGCTCTGCTTTTGGTCTCTACCAACTCCTGAGAAAAAGATCTTCTTGTTAAGCAGCTAAATGCTCCACCATTAGCTAGAATAGCGTCTCTTTTCTGTTTGGTGCTGAGAAAACAGTGTCACTGGGTTTTTTGAGCTTTTTGAGCAAATTTTAGGCTAATTCTCTAAGAAATTAGCTGACAATCCCTAAAAAGCTTCTAAATGTCAATGGGAGCTGCAGATTAAAGTGATAATAGATTACTATGAACAACTCTGTTAACATTGTCAGTTGATACATTGTTATTCAAAAAATATTGATTAAGGTTCTTCTTTTTGAAATAAAAAAATCTAACAAGCAATTGCAATATGCAATACTGGTAGGTAACTGATTAATTGAGAATCATCAAGAAGATATCCAGTCTTTTTCAATGGTACCACTTTTTCCTACAAAATGAACAGCTAAGTGCCAGTGTAGCCATGGTAAAACTGTGATGATATGAAAGACTTGTAAGTGAAGTAAAGCAAAGAATCATTATAAAGGACCACAACGTTGTCCATAAATTCAATAAACTGTGTTCAGGATTTCATTTCAGTCTCTGCCGTCATCATAATCAGTCCCAGGCTTTCAAACATTTAGAAGGGGTTTCATTTAGCCATTACCAACATTAAGTGTTTCTTATTTGTCTTGTGAACTCGATGTTTAGAAGAAGAAAAATGAGACAGAAATAAGCGACAGATGATGTATGACTGGCATCAGTGTTCGTCATTGTAGACATAGAAACTGAGTTGAGCTTTATTCTCCACCAGATTTCTGAATACAAATGACAACAACCTAGATGTTAAGAAACTTTCAATATACTGAGATCACAATGTCCCTGGTTCGGTCATGGCTGGGTACTTTTGTTGCATCACATTTCCCAGTTTCACTTCCTCTCAACTGTCCCATGTCACCAAGGGGCAAAACTGCCCCAAAACTCCGTCAAACAAATGATAATGACAGTGACAGTTTGCAGACTACTTACCTCTGTGCACATGAAGCACTGTATAGAGGAGTAGAACACTGAAAAAGAAGGTAATATTTCATTCTTACCAGCGGACATGGGCTCCAGGCTCCCCAATCTGATAAGACACAGCCCTCGGGGCAGGGCAGCCGGCTGTTGCGGGCCCCCAGAGGCATTTCCTCTGGATCACACAGATAGTCCTCCACTTGCTCAGAGGGCCCATCTATAGTGTTCAGCATACATCTGGACACAAAGAGGTTCAATAAAGGGTTAGTGTAAATACACCACATAATGTGTGGCATGCATTACATCATCTTAGTTAGTTAAAACATTGATAGTCTGCCTCTGCAAAATTTCATTTCCAGATCTAATCAATGTATATCCTGGTGAAGGGTTAGGTTATGTTAAATATGTCAAAATTCCCTTTCAGAAATTTATGAATAAATGTGAGAGTCATTTTAAATAAAAGTCACCAGGCAATCCTACCAACATTTCCATATCACATTTACAATGACAAATTGACAAATTAACAAAGCCTCAGCACAAGGTTAAAGATGCACACAGAGAGAGATAAATAGCACAGAAATACATAAACTAATTTATGCCAACTGCGGAAACGCATTAATATATAAATGATTTACAAGCAGTGTGTGAGCGAACAGGAATTAAACCAGCATCACAACTTAACCTTCTGTCATTCAATGCTGATGTCTCATATGCAAGCACACAAGTACAGAGAAGAATGCAGATTGAGGAAGGCCTGGTGTCTGGCTGTGTGCACATGGTTTAGCTCATTTTACCTGACTTTCCTGGTCTGAACACCTTCACCACAGTTATCCTTCAGGTCCACATTGCTGACCTTCCACACACTCCAGCTCTCTGCCACCCAGACGTGCTGCCCACAGTCACTGAGGCACGGCACCACCTCATACACCTGACACACACAAACAGCCGTTACCTGTCTGATCTTATGTATGTGTATGTGTCCTTAAGATGTGGATGTCTAGTTATCAGCAAGAATATTGACTGAGATTAGCAATGATTTATAAGATTAAAATCCAGTCTTAATTAAACTGTATATTTATTGGACTTTAACTTTATCAATCTGACTTAAAGCAAACAAACTGAGTTACAAAATAATTACTACAGAAAGTGGTCAAAAGACATAAAACAATGTACTTACCTGAGCCTGTTGATGGAATTCATTCATCAAAGAAGAGAAAGGAGTAACAGAAAAAAGGTCAATTTAACTATGACATATGTAAAGTAATAGTAAAAGTAACTTTTCTCTCATCTTGCATTACCTCACAAAGACAAGCATTAAATTGTAATCTTTTTTTAAAACGGATTAAACCTCTCTCACCTGGTTGACATGGTCCAGCTTAGGACATGGTCTCCCACCATTGTAAGGCTTTTCTCTGAGCCACTTGGAGCGGACTTTGACCCCACTGCCACAGGACTTGCTGCAGCGTGACCAGTTGGACCACTCACTCAGTTTGCAGTCAGACGGACAGGGGATGATGCAAGCCTCCTCAATGTACCCTGTAACCAATCACATATTAACAAAAAAGCTTCAGTACACAGCAAATTGACAAGAGGTAAAGTTTTGTTATTAGTGAAATTTGAGTAAATGTAGAGTTAATTATACTCTGGATAGAGTCAAATTTTTTGCTCTTCACCCCAGAGATGGGGACTTGAGTTTGAGACTCGGACTCGAGTCCGACTTCAGTCGCACACACAGTGACTTCAGACTCGACTTGAGACTCGTCCTAGAAAGACTTCTGACTTTACTTGGACTCGAGGTGCGGGACTCGTGAATAAACAATGTTTATTTTTAGGAAGTGTCTGATGAGCTCGCTGTTATTCCCCTCCCCCCGTTAGCTAGAACCTGCCTACGTTTGTTTGCTTGCCAAACTTGTGGTGGACGATTAAGGTAATCATTTAGGTCCTGCTGGCTGCCATCACGTTAATTAATGTTGGCTGCAAACAGGCTACAGGTTTATTGTTGATCATGTAATGTTCCAGTTTTATTTAGTAACATGTTATAAGCAGCCTGGATTGAACGCAGCAGGTGATACAACATTCATGATAAACATGAGAGACTTGAGACTTGATTTGGACTCTAGCTCAGAGACTTGTGGTCTGTTACTGCTACTCCAACACAACACTCGGCAGCTCACACACTCCATCCTCAGTCCGCACGCAGATTCTGCTCAGTCCTGCTCTGGAACCCCACAACCGGCATCTCCTCATCCTCTTTTCTCCCCAACCACACTAATAATTGGTGACTCCATAACCAGAAACATCCGTTTCTTTAACGCTACCACTCACTGCTTCCCCGGTGCCACCACGGCTGACATTTTTAAAAAACTCCAGGACCTAATGCCGTCGCTCCCGTCCTCCATCACAAGAGTGATTTTCCATGTCGGAACAAATGACACAGCTCTTCAGTATTCTGAGCTGACAAAATCAGATTTTAACCGTCTTTTTAAGTTTTTAAAGCAGTGTGGAAAGTCCGTTTTTATCTCTGGTCCCATTCCCACAGTTGGTCGCGGTGCTGGCCACTTCAGTAGACTCCTTGGCCTCCACGACTGGCTCCAGTCCGCCTGCAGGGCTCATCGTGTGTGTTATGTGGATAATTTTAATATTTTCTGGCAAAGAATGCCTCTTTTTAAGACAGACGGACTTCACCCAAACAAACGGGGCTCAGAAATGTTAGCTGCGCACATACAGCATGCGGTGCGGTCCACACATGACTTACGTGAATGACTAATCATTCATGCAGCACACCTGGACACACCACCGCTCACTGAACAGATCTCTGCCTCACTGCCACTAACAACTGTCTCCACCTGCTGGCATGTAAAACTGTCTGCTCCCAGCGCTGTTCCACAGACTTCTATTCCTTTCATCATCACGCATAGACCAGTAAACCGAAATGTGCACATCCCACACAGAAATATTAGTAATCTCTTAAGGATTAGGACAACTGCACCAACTCCAGCACCCAGTACAAGCGCATTTAAAATGGCTCTCTTCAATGTGAGATCACTGTCAAGTAAGACTTTTATCTTAAATGATTTTATCTTGTCTGAATCCTGGTTGCAAATGAATAACTATAGCCAGCTAGCTGAACTGTGTCCGCCTCAATATGATTGTTTTAGTCAACCGAGGGTCAGTGGTCGTGGTGGTGGGCTAGTGAGCGTGTTTAGGGAAAATTTAAAATGTCATCAAGTACGCTGTGATGAATTTAACTTGAAGTTCTCACTCTTAAAGTTGGAGGGCTGCAACCTATCATATTTGTTATAATTTATCGCCCCCCAAAACCGCCTGGAGGATTTTTATCAGAACTTCCTGAATTTTTATCTACTCTGGTTTTAAATTATGACAGAATTGTTTTTGTGGCGATTTTAATATTCATGTTGATGACCCCAACAATGTTAATGCAACTGACTTTTTAAATATGGCCACTTCTTTTAACTTCAAACAACATGTCAAAGGTCAAACACATGACCGTGGTCATACACTGGACTTGGTTTTTACCCTGGGTGTCAGCATTTCCTCTGTGGAATTGGTGGACATGACCATATCTGACCACAGATGTATTGTTTTTAGCTGCGATTCTCCTGTTACTCATGCCGCCTCACCAAGCTCCGTGTGTTCTCGCTTCTTTAATGAACAAAGTGTTTCAAAGTTTTGCACATTCTTTCAGAGCCAAAGCCAACACCTGTCTGATTCCAACACCAACAATCTGGTCGATCACTTCAATCATATCTGCTTGTCGTCACTAAATATTACTGCTCCTCTAAAGGTTAGGCCTACGTCTAAAGCTAGTAAGCAACCCTGGATAAATGACAGCATTCGCAGCCTAAAAGGGAATGCAGGAAAGCAGAGCGCAGATGGAAATAATCCAGTCTCCAAGTCCATTATCTCAGTCTGAAGGATTTATTAATTAAATACAATAACTTGGTTAAGGATGCGAGAACACACTATTTTTCTGAACTCATTACTACACATAAACACAACCCCAGGTGTCTGTTTAAGACTGTGGATCAGCTGGTAAACCCAACCCCTCCTTGTGCCTCAGCTGGAAGTAATGATGACTGTGAATTGTTTTTATCTTATTTTACCAATAAGGTGGTGTCAATCAGAGCCTCTATTACCCCCGCAGCCTTTACTCAGAGGTTCCTCACCAGCAACAAGAGAGTTTTAACCAGTTTTATCCCATCGACTTGTCTGAGCTTTTAAAAACAGTATCACAAATGAGAGTGTCCTCCAGCCCACTTGATGTAATACCTACAAAGTTTTTACTGAAAGTAATGGATTCTGTTGGCCCCATTTGATCTCTGTTTTCAACAGCTCCCTATCTACTGGTTGTGTCCCTGATTATTTTAAAACGGCTTGCATGAACCCACTTTTAAAGAAACCTGGTTTAGATCCCTCCCTCCCACATAATTTTAGACCAATTTCAAAACTGCCTTTTATTGCAAAGATTCTAGAAAGAATTGTGTCCAAACAGCTGCTCACTGTACTGGAAAATAACAAAATATTTGAAAAGTTTCAGTCTGGTTTTAGGAAGTACCACAGCACTGAGACTGCCCTGCTTAAAGTCACCAATGACCTTTTAATGTCTGCTGATGAAGGCATGTGCTCAGTCCTGGTACTCCTGGACCTTAGTGCTGCTTTTGACACCACTGATCACAACATCATGTTAGACAGACTGAGGCACTGGGTGGGGATCTCTGGTACTGCCCTAGAATGGTTTTCATCCTACCTGTCAAATAGGAAGTTTTGTGTGTCTGTAAACAACTATGTCTCCTCGTTCTGTCCAGTTAAATATGGTGTGCCTCAGGGGTCGGTCTTAGGACCCATTTTGTTTTCCTTGTATCTGCTTCCCCTTGGACATATTATCCATAAACATGGCATTTCTTTTCATATTTATGCTGATGACACACAAATATACTTGCCCGTCAGATCCACAGACCCTGGAATGCTGAGTTCACTTAACAACTGCCTTTGTGAAGTTAAAAAATGGATGTCAAATAATTTCCTCCAGCTGAACTCAGACAAAACAGAAATCCTGGTCATCGGGTCCCAGCAGATGGCAGTATTTGATCAATTTGAATCAAATACTGCCATCTGCTGGTTCCCTAGTAAATCACATTAAGCCTGTGGCAAAGAACCTTGGTGTTTGGTTTGATAGTAATTTAAATTTCGAGCAGCACACCACAAAGCTTGTTCAATTATGTTTTTATCAACTTAGAAATATAGCAAAAATTCGATCTATGTTAACTTTTAAGGACACCGAGACCATTTTACACGCCTTCATCTCATCACGCCTGGATTATTGCAACAGCCTTTTCACCTGTTTAACCCAAAAATCTATTGATCGACTCCAGACTGTCCAGAACTCAGCTGCCAGGCTTTTAACCAGAACAAAGAAATATGATCACATTACTCCTATTTTAACTTCATTACACTGGCTCCCAGTATAGTAGTTTTAGTTTTTTATTGACTATAAAATTCTATTGATCACTTAAAGCTCTTCGTGGCCTCTCGCCTTGTTATATTTCTGAACTTTTAGTCCCATACGCACCAGCACGTACCTTGAGATCCTCGGGCAGAGGTCTGCTGTCTGTTCCAGAGTCTCGACTGAAAACTAAAGGGGACAGAGCGTTTGCTATCAGGGCCCCGAGGCTCTGGAACAGCCTGCCCGAGGAAATCAGGTCAGCTGAGTCAGTGAACTCTTTTAAGTACCTTCTTAAAACATACTTTTATAGGAGCCTTTCCCGATCTTATTTGACTTTATTTTATCCCTTTTATTTTATTCTATTTTACTAATTTTATATTTATCTTAAACGTGTATTTTAGTCTTTTCAATGTTTTCATGCTTTTATCTTGTATTGTTTTTGTATTATTGTCTCTTGGGTATTATTGTCTTTACACTTGTTGCTCTACAAATAAAGATTATTATTATTATTATTATTATCTCCGCTTCACCCATTCGCGCACAAACTCACACAGCGATGGCAGTGAGCTACTGCACAGTTTGCTGGCCAACCATTGGACTAGCAGCAATCTAACTAAAATGGAAGGAGTCTCTTTCTGTCTGTCTGTATGCATGACCTTGGATTTTTTCGCCAGCCATTCATTTGATCCAATCTGCTTCCACCCAGTTTTGCAGGTTATGCCCGATTCCTCCTACACATGCCACAATTTGCAGGCAGCCATTTCTGAGCCCAACACAGTCGACAAACTCCTGGATAAAGAAGTTTTCATCAGACCATTTTCCAGTCCACCCTTCCCCACATCCAGAATCAATCCATTTGGCGTAGCTACAAGAAAATATTCATCTCATCATGGCTCCGTTGCCCCAAACATCAACAGCTTAATTCCCAGTCCAGACTCCTCTACGCAGTATAAAACAATCGGTCAAACCATCTCCCTCATCCGCCTTTGAGAAAGAAAGAAGCCTTTGCAGTGTCCTCTGGAAGGGTGCATACTATTTCACAGTGCATCTGACTTCTGGGTGCAAGTGCATGCTGAAAATATTTTACTCTTTATCTAAAGTACTCAGCTGAATCCTAACAAATAACTACAAACTCTTGTATGTCATCAATCTTCTAGGGGACTTTCTCACCATCATGCCACCATCTCAGCGCATCCCTGCAATGTCTTGGCATCATCCTTGACTCTGTCTCCCTCCAAGCATCCCTGCCATCCAAACCTCCCATATCACTGACCCACTATCTTGCTTCCCGTGACAACTGACACCAGCCTTTGACCCTCTTTTGACTCCAGTCCCACCGTTTTCAGACACCATCTACAACACAAGATGTAATCCTCAACAACTCCTCATATATGACTGTATGAAATGGCTTCAAAGCTTTCCATGCCTCTCATAGTATTTCATTCCCTTCATTCGATGTCCTGACAATCTCCAGCTTCAACACATTCACCCATTCCATTCTCAAGATTCAATCTTCCACCATACAGGTCTCTATTAGTGGAATTAACTTCTTCATAAAACTTGTTCCACTCACACATCAGCATGTTAATCAAAGGTCTCCGTAAGGCTATATCATTAATCCAATCGTAGTATGTGAAGAGACAGCTCCCTTACCCAGAGTCTCAACTCCCCTGGTTCCCTCCTGTCTTCCCTCCACTAGCTCCCTGACACCGGTTCATCACTGTGCTCCTCCATCCATCCATCCATGACCCTGATTCTTTCCAATGAGGATGTACCAATGATTATAACTATCTACCAACAAGTTAGCCCTGTGTGTGTCCATAAGTCCAGCTTTAAATGAAAACTAAAATGTACAGCTGTTCTCTAAAGGTTGACCAAAGGACATCAGGAAAAGGTCCAGGGAAGAAAACAGTCAGTGACATGAAAACACTCCCCCAAAAAACAAAGAAAATTTCATTAATAGGTGACTGTTCAGTGCCAGAATACAAATATCAGTAGGAAGGAGCAAGAAATTACCATGTTACTCCCAAAATATTCTCTGGCATAAGAGAGCCAATCAAATACCCCTAAATCAGAAAGAAAGCAAGCAGCAGTACCGACTCCGAGTCCAGTATCTTTTTACAGTTATAGCCAGTTACCATCAAGCAACCCCATGCGGGGAGGAAAGCTTTGACTCATAGCGAGACGGGTTTCTCAATGAGCAAACACAGACACGCTCATTGCCCCCCGAGTGCTTTGATGTGTTCTGTATTTTCCCCGGGTTAAGATGCAGAATTTGGCAGCACTATGATTCTTAATTCCCTTTTCTCCCTTTGCTGGAATATACGGCCAAATGTTAATACAGCTCACTGCAATGTGGCCTGACACATTTGGGCTGCTGGCTGAAAATACATCCCCAAGTTCCCCTGATTGATTATCAAATTTACAGTGGACGTGGGGATAAAAGGACGAATATTTGGAAAGGATTGCTTGTTGAAGAGCAATTGTTGGCTAATATGCCTAATTTAGTGAGTTAATACACAAAAGTCATTCTTTGTTGCATGCAGCCTCCAGCGTGACTTTGAAGCCCACAATTTAAGATGAGTTACATCCAACAGTCTTCATATCTTTTCAGATTGTCATGGTTTGGGGTTTTTTGGTTCCATGTCTTGTGTTTCTACTGTTCTGCCTTGTTTATTCTTGTGATGTTCTGTTATAACTGGTCCTGCTCATCCCCTCTCATGTCCTAGTTGATGTCTTAGTGTGTAGTCCTGGTTCTGTGTTTTATCTACGTCTCAGATCCTAGTTACTAGTTTGTTGTTTCCCGTTTAGGTTTCATGCATATTCTGTGTTCTGTTTCGTCCATACTGGTCCACTGCTCAGTCTGTTTTGTCCGTGTCTTCATCTAGTTCTGCATTTTAGTCTTGGTATGTTCAGGCGGTCGTCTCGCATCAAGTTATAGCTTGTCTAAGTGCGCCCTGTCTGTTCACTCCATGTATCTATGTCTTGCCTTGTTTCCTGTTTTATTCTGACATTGTCTGTCTTTGCTGTCTGTGTCTAGTTTTGCTTCCTGTTCAGTTTTGAACCTGGATGTGATCCACCTGTTTTGTGTTACCGCCCTGCTCGTTTGCATTAGTATTTAGTGCCTGTTTTCTGTTCAGTCTTTGTCAGATTATTGTAGCTTGTTGTTGCTCTGTTGCGTGTGTTGAGTGTGTTTGTTCCTGCCTTGTGTTTCTGTCTGTTTTTGGATCTGTGTTTCACCGTGCTTACTTTGGACTTTGTTTTGGACTCAGCTGCTGCTTGTAAGTGTGCTCGCTCTTGTCTAATAAATCCCTCAACTGAACCTGCTCTGCTCCAGTGTCCTGTGTTTGGGTCATCAACCTGTTCGTACACGCGGCAAACTGTGAGAAAAACAGGTTGTCTGTCTGCATTCCAAAACAACCCATATGACTCACAAAAAAGATACATATGATAATTTTCTGATCTGTCTAAGGTGAACTAAAACTGTTTAAGTTTATGTCAAGATTGTGATCGTGGTTAAATAAATCACTGTTGAAAGGAACCGAGGTGATGTCAAAGTCTTTAAATTTGAAAGCCCAACCACCAAAACCATTCTCCTCCCCATACGAGAACAATGTCAAGCTATTTCCACCTTTGCATTAAGAATAGCCATTACTCTTACAACTACAAGTGTAGTGTCAGAAAATTGTTGAATTGTTGATTAAGCATTTACACCATATCTCATTACAACCTGTTGTCAAGAGCAACAAGGCTGTCCCATTCCAAAACTTCCTCTTAAAAGACAACACAACAGGTGCATCCTTTCTGACCTTCAGTATGGCAAAATACATGGCACTGGGGAGTTCTGTATTTACTTAAAGACTTACTTAACGCCCCTAAAAACTGTGTTTTTGAGTTTTTACAGTGGTTTGACTTCTAACCTTACAGTGATGTACAGATTAGTGCTGTATTACTCAAGACCGGTCTTGATGTTCTTGATCTTGTGTCGGACTCGATCGCATGGTGTGTCTTGTCTCCGTTTCGGACATTGAGGACTCTGGATTTTATTTCAAGACCAATCAAGACCATAACTTTGGGAATGTAAATAAATTGCTTGTGTACTGTCTGATTTTTTTTGTTAACATCCTAACCTTGATTAGATGTAAAACATATTGTTTCAAATGCAACCAATTACCCTAATTAAAAATGTTTTGTTCCCGTTAACAACTGTCACCTCTACCCGTGAAGGTAAGCATGGAAAAGGAGCGCTGAATAAAGATGCTTATGTTGATTTCAGCTCTTAGTGTTTGTATGTGGGTGTTTTAATGGGAATGTGGATCTTTCAGATCAGTCTGAGAAGTATCTATGATCTCGTTCCACATTTTATTATGCGTTATGTAATGTGGGGAAGTGTTCTTGGTCTCCACTTCGTCTCAGCCCCTAAAAGTCTTGGTCTTGTCTCGGTCTCGATAAACTCTGGTCTTGGTCTTGACTTGGTCTCGGTTTGGGTGGTCTTGACTACAACACTAGTACAGATATACTGCAGGGTGTGGCAGTACACTGTGACATCACGGTGATGTGGTGCAACTGGGCAGACTTTTAGTGATTCAGGGTGAAAGCACTTGAGACTTTCAAGCAGAGAGCCAAGTGCTTTTCATCCTAGTTTAAGTTATGTTATGTGTTGTTATATCACTTAATGTTCTCAATTCTTCCAAAAGATACAGAATCTTGCTAGAAATGGGAAAATTGGGTTAGACCCATTCATATTCACCAGTAGCGTTCAGATGGTCACTGATCCTTGCTAAATTTCAGTCCATCACAAGCATGGGTGTAAATAATGGACGAGTAGTACACATACGTTGTTACAATCATTTATGACAGAGAAATGACACCTGGTGCATTCTTTGACAGACACGCTTGATGTGTTGAAGTAAAGTGCAGTAGCTTGTAATCTTTTTTTTTTGACAATTTTTTTTTGATTTGTCAGCAATGTGAGGTAAACTACCTTGTTTGAACTTGAATTTGTGAATCAATTTAGTTGTGATCGCTGGTGTTTCTTAAAATGAAGAAGGGTTTGGGTTAAGGTAACTGGGTTATTTCCATAGACAGTATGGTTATTTCAGTACGGGAAACTCACCATGGCTGTTACAGCGAGAGGTCTCCACTATGCGATTGTCCTGGTCGTAGCACACCATGGCTTGGTAACGATATCCTTGGCCACATTCCTTGATGTCACCTTGGACCTTCATGCCCAGTTGACCCTCCATGCGGCCGCCCTCAGGTAGGACACAGTCCGACCAGTTGCCCACAGGCTGGGCATTGTATTTGTTGCATGGGCAATACTGGGTCTCACTCACAGGATACATCTGGTGGTTTTTACACTGGTCCCGCTTTTTGCTCTTTCCTGTAAAAAAAACATTTTAATTATTAACTGCTTAAAAGTCGTGATTACCGGTCCTTAAGCAACACACGGGTCCTCCAGCTGTTACACAGAGGCTGCTAAGAGGATGTCAGTAGAAGCCTGCTTAGACTGAGCAGTTGTAGGAACTGTAGGAAATCAAATATAGAAAAGTACATAGAAGTTTGGCGCCCTCTCAGTTAACTTAAATTCCAAAATCAGTTTCTCACATACTGATCTTACTCTAAAGGTTGATGTAATCTGGAAGTCCGCAATGCATTGAAGTCTGTCACTCACCGACTAGCATCCTCTTGCGGGTCCTGACGCCTACGCAATCGGCTGTGCAGGAGGAAAACTTGGACCAGCTGCTGAGTTGACAGTCTTCCTGGCAGGGCAGCTGGCAGGGCTGTGTGAGAGGTGGCATGGAGCTGGCTAACTTAAGACAAGCTTCGACGTCTGCCTGGCCACCATCCTGCTTCCGGCACGAAACAGCTACAGGGGAAAGGAGCGAATGGACTTTTATGAGAGGATGGAGACTTCTCTTGCATTTTGTGGGATACACTTCTGTGTAAATGATGAGAACATGAGAGTCGTTCACGTGTCCACGGTAGAATGCAGTATGCTTATTTTGAAATTATTCAAAACAATAAAAGTATGCAATTGACATTTTATTTGCAGATGTGTGTTGGTGCTCCTCCTCTTCCTTCTTCTTCTCCTTCTTGTGTTGTTTTTAGAAAACCTATTCTAATGACATAGAGTATGGTTGTAATGACTCCTTTATAGACATTGATAAAGTATTGGTTGTGACATAAAATTGTTGTGGTTGTCAGCTACCAATCAACATAGTGTTGTGTAAGCGTTGAAGTGTGTATGAAGTGACGGCTCCAATCCAATTACCTACTGGACACAGGCTGATTATTTTGTTTTCATCACTGAAGGAGTAACTACATCCAGGCCAATTGTCCTACTTGTACTGCCATCTGGCAATCACTGCACGCTCTGACCACACCATGAACAGTGCAACACTTCACACTGCACTATAGTAGTGGTGGTAGAGGTATTCAGAGTAAAAGTACTTCTAATGCAGACAAATGCCGCATGTGAATTTTCTACTATTTACTAGTTCATCATAGGTTTTCTACATACAATCTGAATCTGTAATAACTAAATCCCTCAAATAACTTTAGTGGAGTAAAAGGTGTATTTCCCTTCTAAATTGTACTGGAATAGAAGTATAACGTAGCACATAACAGACTTGTCCAAGCAAAGTACATACAATTTGTAATTAAGTATAGTCCTTGAAGAAATGTACTTAGTTACATTCCACCAGTATGGTTAAGTTGTGGTCCGACCTTATCCATCTGTGATGTTGTGTATGTGGTCATCTAGTCCAACCGACATTAACCCAATCAACCCGCAGAGGTCAGCGGGGAGTTGCTCTTTAATGGATTAAATTGCCAGCAGGTGTTGTACTGTGGCAGGTCACTTTGGCTTGGCTTGAGTCTTATCAGTGTGATAAAAATTAGATGGTTCAAACGCTGCCTTAGTCAAACTGCCCCATGGTTAAAAAAACACAGGTGACACTATGTTAACAATAACACCGATATTAAAACAGTCATTATTTCAGGGTATCCCTCAGTCTTCCTCTCTTATACCCGCATCAGTTACTGCACATCCACACACACACACACAGACACACACACACACTCATTGGAAATACTAGAAGGGCTGTAAAATAGTTCTGGAATTCTGCACACTGTATTGAGTGAGTGGGTGAATAGTAAGAGGCTTGTATTGAATTGTGTCTCTCCAGCTTAGAGGATACAATTACAGGTAATGGTACATAATGCCAAGAGCCTCCCAGGATGGAGGAAAAGGATGCCCCATCATTGGAATAAGATAATGGCCTCTGTCTCTGAGACTTTTATAGGAGTCTGAGTGTGTTCACTGATAACAAGTCAGCTGTCTGTCTACATTCTCACTCAGGCCGCAGTCATTAGTGCTAAATTCGCAAGTCATCTTAAAGGAACAGTGCATGTATTGTTCTGAGATTATCCTGCTGGTGTTAAGTAGGCACATAATACATTATTATATCATCATAATAAATAATATTTGGGGTGTTTAACAAGACAGACATTTACATTATTGTTATTGATACATTTGAAAAAAATGTTTTTAAACTGTTAAATTGTTATACAGTTTTCAAATACATACAATCCAGTTTTTTATGTAGTTCTGGAAGTTCCAGGCATCCACTGGTCAATATTGTATTATTGCATGGTAATGCTGTTTAAATGCAGAATTATTTGCAACATCCACACAGCACAAAAGAAAATTTGATAAAGATTTCTGCAGACTTCATGTTCACTGTGTACACATGTTTCAAAAGTCTCATAGATTTTTGTAATGTTACACGAAAATAGCCTTTTCACAGAAAAAAAGAAAGCTAGCTCCACTGCAAACAGCAACAGCGGTGTTTCAGTATTAACAATCAAATAATGTCGTGTTTAATAATATGTCAGTCACAGGGGCTGATATTCTGCAGAACCAGAATTTTACTCATAATACTTCTGTACTTTTGCTATTTTGAATGTGGAACTTTTTACCGTAGTATTTTACTTGTAATGAGTATAACTGTAATGGTGCATTTACTTAAGTAAAGGGCAATACACTAATTAACAATGATGTGAAAAAGAGAAATGCTAAAATGAGACATTGGAACTAGAGACTGCTTGATTAATGTTGAAAATTATTTTTGATCAGTTTTATTTTTAATGGTCTGATCAACGAATGATTTCAGTGATTTTCAACACTAACCCAGCAACTATAACTTTTACTCACATTCCTCACAATACACTGAGAAAAACAGAGAAAAATGGCAAAAATAGCAGTGCTGCTGATTTCAGAGCAGCATTTAATGAGTATTAAGTATTTTGAGTAGCAGTCTGGCGGTTTGTTGCCAGTGCTGGCTGTTTTGCCTGATCTGTTATGGCTTTGTATGCCATTTTTAAAGAAACTCAACTAATGATAAATCATCCCATGAATAACACCCTGGCATTTAAATCTGTTCTTCCATCAGCTCCATTGTTAGTGTAACAACATTGAGTTAGAATGTTGATATGTGAGGTTCCGTAGAGCTCATCTATCTCTCTTCTCCCCATATCATTTACAGCCAATATCATTAAACTCTCCATATTATTAAAGTTGTATGCAGCCCCTAGGCGCTGCTTTGATGTCAACTCCCTTGTTTCAGGCTCTTGCAAAGAGAGGACGCAGATGGAATGGTCTGATCAATGTTTGTCTGCATGTGTGGCTGTCCTCACCCCGAACCTGCAGGCCCGGCCCACAGATTTCCTGAGCTCCGGGACTGTCCTGACGAACTGACCATGGAACCAGCTGGCATCGCCGCCACTTGTGGGTTTTCCATCTGAAAAAGAAGAATCAGAGGTTTCTTGAACTTAAATGCAGGGGGGTGTAAATGGCTGCTAGTGTAAATCCCTGGACCAGATGTAAAATGTTAAATGTCTTGCTAGCAGACAACAATTACATACCGTATACTTGTACTACATGTTAAATGGATTATTATGTGAATGCAGAGTATGTACAAAGTTTTTATTTGGCATCTAGGATCTGATCATTTCACTCCCCACGAGGAAACAGTGGGGAGAGAGGGAATAAGAAATGACATAGAGCATGAACATAGACTCGGTGCCTACAGGTGAATGCTGGGGTGGTGGCAGGGCATATGAAATGCTATATGAACAGCAGCTAACACTAACAGCCATGTGAGTGTAATGGTGGACTCCAAATGACTGCCTGAACAAACTCACAGACTTTGAGTAGTTTAGACCTGAGAATGGCACTATAGAAAAGGTGATGCAATTAAATTAATCTGGGTTCTTCCTGAAGAAACCAGGAATTTTCTTGAGAAACATCATGGCAATCCACCAAGTACTTTAAGTCAAGACAAAGACAAAAGACAGGAAGACAAAATCAAGGGTCCATCTTCTGGTGACAGCAGTGGAAAGATTGGGAAACACTTTACAAATCATTCCAAGATGGTTACCCACAGTGCTTTCAAGAGTTCATCAACCCAAACCGATCCAAACCATATTATCAGGTTTTGCGGAAAACTTCTGGCTCAGGTCTGGTTCAGGTTAAGTTATTTCCAAAAGCAGTACCCATTGGAAGAGGTAAAGATATAGAGTGCAGGCAATAGGTTGCGTTTGCAAACTAACAGTCAATAAAAAAAAAGTAAATAAAAAATATTGCTTGGGATTGTGTTGGGTACTGAGCTCAAATTTGAGAGGACTAGTCTAGACTCTAATAAATGTTCTAAAATGTGACGTCACCTGATCCAAGTTTGAATTTGAAAAAACTCTTTGGGTATGGAGTTATGAAGCTTACCAGACCTCTGTAGCCTGCTCCTCGACTGCTTGAGGCTACATTAGCCACTGCTAGCATAGTACACCAAATTGCTGCTCTATCACATATATTTTTTCGGTATTAGTGGAGAACTCTTTTCATGCCTGTGGAACTCTACTGCTAGCCCTGTGGTCACAACACATAAATGGAAATGTATATTATCTATATTTTTAGCAGTTAGCTAACAAGTTAAACCAGATGTAAACAACTTGTAAATAGATATCACATTTTAAGTAACTGCATCACTTGTATTAGTACTATTGTGTTTAATTAAAAAGAAATGTAGAAGATGGTGATTTTGTAGCCATTTGCCACCTTCAGCCATACTTTTAGCCAACTGAGGGATATCATAGCCGTTAAAAATTATGCCAATCAAAACTACTCCTTACTACTTCCTACTTTACAACTAGGAAGATGTAATAATAATAAGTAATGTATACAGGTGTTTATGTTGTAAGGGACCGGTTACCTGTATCCTTGACAGACAGATGGCGCGTCACACTCTCTCTCCTGGGCAAGCACTTCAGGACAGTCTTGTCCTCCATTGGCTGGTGACTGTATGATAATACGCTTCCTGTACTGCTTCTTCTTGGTGTTACCACCTAAGCAAAGACACACATATAAACATTAAATCTAGTACATTTAGCTAATAAACTGAGTATGTATGTAAAATACAAAATGCAGCAGTTCCTTTTCCGTGGTCTCATCTTGAGTTTCAGCATGTCCCAGATTTGAAAAGGTACTTGAAAAAAGGATGTTTTTGTGTGCTCTTAGCCTATTAAATCTGTCGCTGTAGAACGAATGTAATGAAGCCTAGATGGTCTTCATTTCATTTTTCACATTGTCTATTTGCTAATTCTCTGCTGATAGTGACCACATCAAGGGGAGGTTAATGTGGTGCACCTAAAATAGTGTGACCACATTTATGTGAAAAATGTCTGAGTACTTATTATACTAATAACTTTGGCCTATTGTATTCATTTATGTTTGTATTAGAAACAAACAACAAAAAAAGGCCTTGTGTAAATTTATTTTTGTGATGATTATTTTTCATGAAAACATGACCAAATACAATGTTGATTCATTAGCATTTTTTAACATTTAAACTGTGACTGAGAAACATTGATTTTAAGTAGATTTTTCAACCTCTCAACCATATACCAACATTTCTGAAAGTAACTCGAAGTGTGATGTTTGGGACTGACTGCAGGAGCATGTGCATGGTGTCCATGCATTTTGATTTGACTGTGTTATGGAGAGAAGAATAAGGGGTGTTTTTGACACAAGCTGCATCAATGTCATATTCTCCCTATCGGTCTCTCCGTGTGGCCACATTCCCAGTTCCCCAAACCAAACCATTGCCATTGTCTATACCCGTCTACCAGAAACAGTAGTTATGATCGAATGATTAAAGAATTTGTTTAGCAGATGCCTCTGGGGAGTAATTATGCCAATACATAAAGCAAAATGCAAGGGAATGGCAGCCACACATATGTCTAACACTGAGGCTATTGGCTGTTTTTCTTATTTGCTTGGCAAATATGTCCCAAATTAGCTAACACTTTGGATTTCTGGCACCTGTTAATTGTGTAGAACAGCCTCTACTAACACCATTAGAAGTTTCTACCCCTTTATAAAATAACACCTGAGTGATATCTAGGAAAAAAAAAATTAAATGCTGTCACAGTCTTTGCTTACCACCTCCACTAACCAATTTCCTGGTTGAAACCCTGATATTTTCCTTTTTAGAGAATACTGCATTTCCATAACATTTATTCCACATGTCACAGCCCGAGCATAATTGGAATTTTTGTTATTCTGTCTGTGTGCATGATGATTTCATCGTCTGTTCATGCTGAATTAACGATGAGCAAATTTGGTATGCATCATTAATTGAGGAACACAGACATACAAAAGCTTTTTGTGATTTCCCTCTCCTAACACTGCTGCATGTGACCCGTGTCACACCCTGTGATGCCTCGTTGAGTTTGCTGAAGTCAACAAAGAGCTGGAGCTACCTGCTTGACATGTTGATGGGCAGGGGCTCCAGTCGCTGTACGGGGTAACGATACAGTCTCTCTTGCACGGCAGTAAGCAGGGCCTGACGGTGTCTGGGCGCAGACTCTCCGGACATCTGCAAGTACATCATTGACATGCTCAGACGCACACACACAGAGTACCCTTGAAAATCTGATAGAGATGTGCTGGATTAGAGCCAAAGGGACCGTGGTGGGAGTTCACTTGGAGGCTCCCAATGTGCCTGGATCTTTTTGTGAGACTGTGAACATGTGAACATGTGTGTGTGTGTGTGTGTGTGCGTGTGTGTGTGTGTCTTTGTGTGTGCGTGCAGTGGTTGAAGATTCTTCCACTTCCATTCCTCCTTTCTTATTGTGTAGTGATAGGGATGGAGGGAGGAAAGAAGGTGAAACAAGTAAATTTATGTTTGGGTTCACTTCCACATACACCTCCCTAACCAGCATTGTTAGAACAAGGGACATGGACTTTTTATAAAATGTCCATGTCCCTTGGACATTTCTATAAAATGTAAACATAATTTCTACTTTGATATTGCTCTGCTGATTCATCAAATATATATATATTAATACCTTCAAATTAAAACTGTGCGTCCATACTTTACCTCATGGTTTTTGTTTCATGTAAAATCCAATGTGCTTATGTGTCTTGTTAACATCAGAAAATCAATACTTCATTTTGAAGTATAGGAGTCAGTTTAGGTGTCATTTACAACAATGGCCCGAATGTAAGTATTTTACGTTGTTGATTGTTTGATTTGACATTGCATCATGAAAAACACTCCGCAACTGCGGAGTGTGTGGAAGGAAAGAGAGGCTGATGAAAGCATGACAAAGAAAAGCCAAAAATGCTGCTTTATGGTAATTATAACACATGTCATTGTCACAGTCACAGTGATAAAATGATGCAACACATCACAACTTTACTGCCATTACTACATAGAAAGAAGTGCATCCAGAGCTGTCTGATTTATTTTTTTCCTTATGAACTTCCTGAAAATTTACATTGCCCTGATCCTTGTGAATTTGGATATGTACAATTTTAGATACAGTGTAGAAATGTCATTATAAACCTATAAATACTGAATAAGTCTGGGACACTTAAGATACATTTGCAATACACTTGTTTAATGCTTCCCAAATTGTCGTATTTTCCTAAATAATTCAACCCCATTTCCATAGAAAAGTAGAGAGTTTTTGTAGAATGGGGAAATTATCTCTACTCAGAATTCCTATGGCAAACCACCAATTAAAATTTTGCAAGAAAGAAGCTATACATGTATGTATGTATATATATATATTATGGCATGTCGTTTAGGAAATTGTATTCCTATATATGTGTCTGTTCATTCCATATATTCAGACAGACAAATTTCACATATATAAATATAATTTCCTAAATGCCATAATATATATATATATATATATATATATATACACACCACCGCACCTAAATAATATCCTAATACATCTTCAATTTTTGCTATCATGCTAATATATTTGAACGCTCTAATGCCATTTTGTGTTTACTGGTGTCCTCACTAGTCATGGCTGGTGATGCTGGTTAAAGCGGGTGCCCCTCTCTCCATTGATGTAAAAGTGTGTCCCAAGGCACCGGGTTCACTACTCAGCATGTAACAGTAGGTTTAGGAATGAGTGCAAGAATAAAAGCAAGATTAATTTCCATGCACAGCATGGGGGCTGGCGGGGTTTGCCTGCCTAGTGCTGCTGTGCTGCCAGATTAATACTCCTGTTGTGTTGAATAAATAAATAGATAATTCATGTTCCCAGCAGACGCCTTCAAGGGAAAAACAGATGCTTAAATGGACAATTCGGCACATTTTATGTGGATGTTCAATCAGTTTTGATGGTAAAAACAGTCCATTACAGCGATACATTCCTGAGTGCATGCTAGAAAGCGGAGTTCGTCAAGTAAGTTCTTCCCGCATCCAACAATATCATTTGACGTGACAGTGACGTAGTTAGTGGCTTGGAAGAACTACAAGCTACTTCAGCTTGGATTTCTAGATCTGCCTTTGAGTAGCAGGGATGTGCTCTAGATGTCTCTTTTTGCTTGTATTGCAAGCTAACTACGTTTCCAAGAGCGAAAATGTCATCCCAAAATATGTGTGCATGGGATATTATGGATGCGGATTCATTTTACAGTGTTTTGGCTGTCTCAGATATTAAGCTGTACTTATTCGAACCAGAGAAGAAATACAGCTGAGAGAGTCTTATCTCTGCAGTCACAGCTATGCAAGAGGATGGCCCCAGCGGGGAAGTTCCACAGCCTGAGCCGCGGAGAGCAAACACTGACTGGTAGTTACTTTACTCTGATTGCCCTCCGATTCAAACAGGAACTGAATCATCTTCAGCTGTGGATTTCAGCGTGGGCAGTTTTTTGTGGGATGCTGTTGCAGACACCAACTCTGAGAGCTGAAGTCTGCGTTACTACATGCCTGAAGGTGCATGCATGAAAATTTTACTCCTCACTTGGACAGAAGTCTGCTGGAGATCTTCTCCAGGATTCTGAAGATAAACTGCAAAAGATGACCTAAAGCCGAACTATGTTATTTCCTAAACAAATCTAGGATTTCGCGGGAAGGGATTTATATTCTGGAAAAAGCTTACTGTTAGCCAAGAATATGTGCCATAACTTCAATGTTTCTGAAAATATGAAAATATGATTACCCCTATTTTTTCACACTGCAAGGTAAAAAGGCAAATATTAAAGTTGAAAAGTGTAAGAAGTTTCTGGTTTTGTAAGTAATTTTCCCCACTGTAAAGTCATTTTGTTGATATCCTTACTGTTACTCAACACTTCCACTTCCAAGATAATTTCATATAACTTTCCTGTGGGTTTAAGGAATACCTGCTATGTTCATTTTCTGTTCACAATTGTTGTTTTATTTTCAATGTTCCACTCAGTGCTGTTTGACCAGGCACTGCATTCAATCTGGAGACAGTCCCTGGGCGCTGTACTGTGGCTGCCCACTGCTCCCTTCAGTGATGGGTTAAATGCAGAGAAGGAATTTTGCTACATGTATGTGTATGTGACAAATAAAGTACCTTAAAAAACTTTTGAACTCTTAACTGTATTTAAAAAATTTTAATGTGTGATAATTGTGGTGTCAGGTTGTATTTATTATTTTGGAGAAGTCAAAGACAAATTTCCACTGAGGTGGACAATAAAGTCTAAAAGTAAAAAAAAAGTAAACTAAGTTATGGACACATGGCCATCTCACACTCTTTGGAATGGACTCTGCTGGACTCTTTGGAATGGCTGCCACTGGAGCCATTCTTGATGCATTTGGGAACAACATACTGCACCAGTGTAGCCAAATTCATCCAAAATCCTGGGCAACTAATTTAAGTTGCTAAATATTTTATTAGGTTTGTACAAAGTCTGATCTTTAGTTACATATTGCTATTATTGGCTCACACAACAGACTTTTAAGCTTGATGATTAGATGTTTCTTACTGAAATGCACCTTTGGATTCACAGACTTGTACCTTTGACCACCGTCCAAAGACATGCAGTCTAGGTTAATTGGTGACCCTGAAATTGTCCTTAGGTGTGAGTGTGGGTGTGACGCTGCGATGGATTGACGACCTGTCCAGGGTGTACCCCGCCTTTCGCCTGATGTCAGCTGGGATTGGCTCCAGCCCCCCGTGACCCTGTACGCAGGATAAGCGGGTGACAATGGATGGATGAAAGTTTTAATCCAGGCTTTGAAAGTACACCCGCCATATTCATTGTACTTGCAGGAAATAAGTACTATACTTTTACTTCATGCGCCCTGGGCCCCAAAATAACTCCTCGCACAAAAAAAGGATCCAGTGACAATCACATTCTGGTGGCCTGTGGGCTAGAGTCTGGCCCACAAGTCAATCAGTACATGTGTAACAGAGATGGGATGACATTTATGTACAATCTGAACCTGAACTCCCTATATAAAGGATTATGTTGAATCTTACTTTTTCGGAGGAACCTGGCCCACATTGACCCGGACACAGATAACCTTGCGGGTTTGCATCCCCACTGAGCAGGAAGCGTCATCGCTCCGTGTTCGCCCCACAGATGTGTTGGTGGACAGGATGGAGGAGTCCTCTATGCACTGCCCCCATGAGCCGGTTTGCCAGTGGTACACAGTGCAGGGATGGTCATTGCAGTTTCTCACTTCCTGCAAGGCACTACTGTTGGGACACTGGATTCCGCCTGGAAAATGATGGAACACAAACCAGCATCAATATAAAGTCTGTTCTCTGTATCGAGTCTGGTCTGAGACATTTCTGTTACCTCAGAATAGTCTCTGTCTTGTGGGTGGTTTGACTCACACTTGTCTCTGTCTTTGCTTTATTTGAACCCAATCCTGACCCAGACTGAACCCACTTCATAACTGAGTCATTGTGACGCAGGTACTGTCTTTCAATATGAAAGGTACTGAATTGGTTACAGTCTGGTTGGCGTACAAAGAGCACAATTTGGCCACTATAAGCAGCAAATGAGCAGTGGCACACGCACAAACACCTGCTGTCTGGTGGGACTTTACTAGGAAGAAGAATGACTGGGCAGTTAATATAAGAAACGGCTAGACAAAGAAAGGAGAACCACCTTCAGAAAATCAGCTGTCATTAACAGAACATTTGAGGAAATAATGAAAAGTAGGCTACTAATGATTTAAAAATGATGCCTGTAGTGTAGTCAAAAATTGAGAGTAATTAAAACCCAACACTGCATCATAGTAAAGTATGAATCCACAAATATAGCAATCATAAGCGATGGGAACATTTTCTCCGTCAAATCCCCAAAACAATGACACAATATAGGTTGGCTAGCAATAAGGCATTGGTTATCCCATGCTGTGTGGTGCTTTGTGCAGTGCTATATATTAGCTTTTAGCTTTGATTTTCCCCTGACTTGTTGGATAACAAACAAGGCTAAGCCAGCATGAGAGAGAAACGAGAGAGTCTCTGGGGGGTGACTGGCTGCGAGGATCAACAGAGATGAGATGACCTGGGGGCAGAAGAGCCAGAAGCCTGGATATGGACGCAGGTGGGGTGTGAACACCACGTGACCCTCTTCACCACAAAACCTTGTCATTAGCAGCCGCCATCACCTTGAGAAAAGAGAACCCCCGAAGAGAAGGTCAGCCATTAGCGCCTCAGAGGGTATTAAACGCCATTTTTCAGTCAGCGCTGGAGCGTCTGAATTAGACATGAGAAAGCACCTCAGACAGAAGATATGGCTGACCTCTGTGTAACAACACTGGTGTAATGTGCGTCACAGGATCATTTATAAAAGATATTATTGGATTTCATCAGGGCAGTCATTCATCAGGCCTGGAGCTCATTAGCACATTGAAGGACATACCAGTTTTGCTGCGCTAGCTAATTAAATTGTTAACTGATAAATACTTAAATTGCTACCAATTAAACTAAACGTATATTTGAAAAATGCACTGCACAGACAGCTGCAGATTAGGTATGTCATTATTGTAAACAATTCTTTAACAGACACCCTATCAACAATATTGTCTTCACATATTATTTACTGTGTGGCTAATGAAGCTATTTGTTAGGCAATAATCCCTAGTGTCATGCCCAATGTTTGTCTTGACCAGAATAATTAGGTCAGATCAACCCCAGTACACGCTGCCTTGATACTTAGATTGTTGTTCGGTGTCAATGTGATTATACAGTTAATGGTTAATTGAAAACAGTTTGTAGGCTGAATGGTACATATACAGAATATTAAACAAAACATCTCTACCAATCTCTGATAATAGCTTTTTGTCTGCTTTAATCGATTATTATTCTTTTATAACAATGTTGTCTTCCCCATAGGAATCAAAAGTTAGATGAGAAAAGCTTATAAGTTAAATGTTATCATGAGTGAATGATCAAAACTTGATGATGAACATAATATTAAGATTAAGGTTTTAAAAGACATCCCTATCTAGTCATCCATGCTGAATAGTGAAGTCCTTTCCATCCTGTCTCATTTTACTATATCTGATGGCCAAGAGTGGTCTATGTGACTTGATGCTTCATCCAGCACACACCACCGCCGCCTTAAATACTAGGAAAGCTAATAAACAATTTGCAACATGGAGCATGTAGCTGGCATTGTGTCCTGGCATAGACATCCTCCTCAAGCCCAGCGTGGGCAATGGAGTATGACTATCCATTCACACGGAAATCCATTATGTATGATGAGGCATCTCCTTGCTCCATGCTGTGTTGTTGTGAATATGCCAAAGACAGCATGTCTATCCAATGCGGTCCAGACGTCAGACGGCAAGAGCTGTTAAAATGATAGCAGGGATGTAAAAGGTAAAATTTGGATGTGTTGCCAAGCCAGACTCTAACCATCTGTGCAGCCTCCCGTTTTTTCTCACAACGAGGTTTGGTGAGAATGGCTCAATTCTCACAGTGTGATTGGCAGCTTGGAGGCTTGGGCTTTAACCCAGAGGAACCCACTTCAGTGTCATTCCGGCACCATTTAGATACCTACTCATTATCTTGGGGTTGGAAAAACATGCTAAGGAGTACTCTACTAATGCTACTGCTAACGTATAAAAGCGTTTCTTCTATTCTAAAAGAACAACTATTCTGCTGTGCCAGCAGATGTGCGGGAAGAGATTATACCAAGGTAGCCACATTTCTATTTCCCTCTAGTTAAACATATGGAGACTACATACTACCATCAGCAAAAATCACATGCTGTCTTCTATGAACATCAAATTTAAATGTACCAAAGATTGGATGGACCAACGACAGCATGGAAGAACCTTGAACAGAAGTGAAGGCAAAATTGTCCTTGTGAATTTTCAAAAAGCATAAACATATTGTACACTCAAGTTTGATAATGAGAGAATCAAATTTGTGCTTTAGTCTTGCAAAAGTTCAGCAGGCTCATTATCCTTCTAGTCACTTCTTACCCTGCATCACAGTAACCCATGCCACAACCTTTGCGGTCGCTGTAGAGGAACACACAGAATAATTAATTTCACTCTGACATTTCACTTGTGGTAGGAGAGGCAAATGGGAAACGCAGCAAAAACCAGGTTTTTAAGACTTCCACTACTAGCATCACTGTGGTAGCCCAATGTAGGGTTGTGAAGTCAGATACTGATCTCTGTGGATAGCTGAGTGTGCTATTGTGGTTGTGGGATATGGTTAGGGTTACATGGTATCTTTGTTCATATCAGATTACACTCACTGACTGATCCATAATTGATTGAAAGGTCCATATGAGTCCTATATAAAGGCAATACCGTATATCGGTCTGACTCTACTGTGTCTATATCTGCTTTGTTCTCTTTGTGCAGGACTTAGAGAAAGAGTCATTACCTTCTCCTGCGTTATAGGCGAGGATGGAGCGAGCTCTGGTCTGCTTGCCCTCCGTGTTTTTTCCAGAGCAGGTGTGGGAGCACAGAGACCAAGGCGTCCAGGGGCTCAGGGCACAATCCTTTGGGCAAGGCACCTCGCAGATGGCTGGCATGGGCAGGATGGCATCACGGCAAAGCTGCCTCTCCACATATTCACCTGGATGAATGCAAGCAGATTTAGGGTGTTAAAAATGTGTAAGTAGAAAAACAGAGTTTTAAAAAAAAGGCTAAAGGTGCTTCATACTCCCAGGACCAGGATCATTCCAAAGGTTTAAATTTTTGGCACCCTTAATTAAATGGTTGGTTGAAAATGGATGCATGCACACTTTGTACATCTCAAAAGGCAGAAAAGCTTAAGCAGTCTTTGACTATATTGTTTCAGTCTACTCCAAATGTGTTTGCATACCTTACCAACCACTACAACACATAAATGTCTTGACCTTTATGAATAATTTTCACACATAATTTTAATCCATAATTTCGTATAGACTAGATATTGATGCCTCAACACACTCCACTCTGACATAGTTTTTCATTAAATCAGTTAAGGCAGTTCTGAGTAAAAACAATAGATGTTTGAAAATGTAAGGACAAGCAAATACTTGAAAAGCTAAAAAAAAAAAAAGTCAATTTTTGTCTTATAGTAGCGTAAACTGTGGATACATTTTTGAAAAAATGGATATTTTGGGAAATATGCTTATTAGCTTTCTTTCCAAGAGTGAGATAAGAAGATGAATATCAATCTAGTGTCTCCAGCTTCAGTACCTGTTGCCAGATATGGTCTGTGAGCACAGCTGAGCAGCACTTGTAAATCGGTGTTGAAAATGACAGATTGGATTCAAAAGTATTGTCTCTGTGACTGTAGTTGATGTAAAACAATATGATGAAGACATGGTTTAGTGTTTTCATCAAACTAACTGGATGAGCTGAATATAGATCCCACTTTGGCAAAAGATAATATCAGAAAGCTAAGTATCTGTTCTAAGCAGGCTGACCTGGATGAATAATGGAAAGCATGGAAATTTCAACAAGAATCAAGACTTTTCTTGTCTGTCCTCCCAAGAAAAAAACCCCAGCTTTAGTTATCCAACGAGGTTAAAGTCAAGGGCAACTGGACTTGTTGTTTGTTCAAATGCCCAAATACTCCATTTAAAGGTTCAGTGTATAATATTTAGGAGGATCTATTGATATAAATACAATATAGTTTACACAACTATGTTTTCAGTGGTGTATAAAGACCTTACATAATGATCCGTTATGTTTTTATTATCTTAGAATGAGTCATTTCTATCTCCATACACAGCGGGTCTTCTTACATGGAAGTCGCCATGTTGCGCCACCATGTTTCTACAGTAGTCCAAATGGACAAACTGCTCAACAGAGTGCGTTTTGTCACTATGTTGAATACGTACGAAGAACAAGAAGAACTAGTAACATTAGTAGTATTAGTAGTAGTAGTCTGGTTTATTAGAAGTAAGAAAAGAAGCAAAATTTGGCCACTGTAGCTTCTCCTGTTCGCTTGGAAAGGGAGGAATGATGATGCAGGCAGGTCAGTCAGCTAACGTTACATTAGCTTGAAACTGCTGCTTTTTGCTTCTTAACATTCAATTTTGATATATTGCTATTTTACCAATACTCGAGGACATAACTTCTCCGCCTCTCAGTCGCTTCAGCTAACATGACCCATATACGTAATATACAATACTGCAACATAAACGGCGCAGGACAACAACACAGAGGAAGACCCATTCAGTAGAGTAATGTTACTTATTGTCTAACTGTTATAAAGTGTGGCAACAATCTGATATTCAGTCTAGCTAACTAACAGTTTCGTTATCATCCAATAACTTCCATGTAGCTGTGTTGACATTGCTGAGCCTCTGGTGAAAGATACATAGACACAAATATTAACGTTACTGAAAATCAGAAAGGTGAGCTAACGCTATCCTGTTGGCTAAATGCAGTAAATGTAACGTTGTAAGAAAGGGTTAGGATTAAGGGAGTGTCAGAGAATGCATACTGGCTTATATTTAAAATATTTAAGATTTTAAAAGATTTGTTTTTGGAGGGCTGGGGTGCTGAGTTGCTGATGTAGCTAATATTGATCCAGATCTGCAGCTGTCCCCACTCCCCGTACTCCCATTCCACCCTGTCAGCAAAGGACCATATCTGTGAAAATCTCATTGTGAAGGAAGAATGGCAACCACTGAGTTGAGAAATACGCCTGGGACCCCGGGGAAAAAACAGATCCATTTTCATCAGATGGAGACAACAAGAGATCAATAAAAGGCCAGTCAAGAGAAACTTTGAGGGATGCCACATGGCTGTGGGGGTGGGGTGGCGTTGATGGGGGATGTACGGAATCTCAACAAGGGTAATAGAAGACTTCCATGTGATAGATGCTGAATGAAATCATTAAATTATCTGTACGACACCGATTTCACAATGTCTTTTGTTAGAGAAGCACTGTATGACTGACTCTGGCTCTTGATAATTAAAACACACCCTGTAGTCTCCACTACCTAACACAAACCAACAATAAGGACAAACATGGAGAAGAGGAGCCATGAATACATACTGTAAATGTTGGGGGCAGTCATCTGTGAAAACATTTTCATCCATCCAACTCTGGTCTAGTTTTATCTGATAGTGTATTGTCTTATATATAGGATAGTTATGCTATAGTTAATATAGTATAATTTTTGGCCTGTCATGAAGCATTATTTCAACCATAGGAGTGTGTAATCCTACACGTAATGCTACTGGAAAACAGTATTGACTAAACAGAGTTATACCTGCACATTGACTCCAATACATTTTTAGGTCAAAATTGTTTTGAAAAAAATGTGGCTGTGATCGAAATATTGCCTTAACAACAGTCCGATGTCAGTTTAACAGACCACAGTTTCTTTACCAAAATATCAAAATAGACACTTATATTACAATAATTTGTGGTTTGGAGTATTTTGTGTGCAGGCATTATTCTTTCCATCAATTCTTTCAGCCATGACCAGTCTTTCTCTAACCTGCAAGATCATGATCTATCTACTGTCTATCATAACTGTATGCGTTATGTAACTTTAACCAAACATTTAACAAAGCAGTGGCAGCTCATAAAACGCTCATATGAATAATTTCATTCGTATGGAATGTTTATCTGATCTGATCTGATCTGAAAGTTCAAAAAGTTTGTTTTTGTATGTGTTGGAAGGCGGTGGCAGATCTATTTTCCAATTAGGTTGGAGGTTTGATTTCCAGTGAGCTACCATGTCAGCTGCAGTATGACATAAGCAGGTAAGATGCATTCCTCGAACAGCCTGGATTACTACCTCAGACAGAGAAACAGTCAATGTAATGCTTTTTGGGAAATAAATGATTTTCATTGTAAATGAAAGTCATATCAAAAGACATCTTGTAGCATAACAGGAAGGAAGAGTTTCAGAAAAAGCAACTTTTTCCTCTCCTGTTCCACATGGTGTTCAAAATCATTCTGCTAAACTCACAGATCTGAGGAGCTGAACTGATTTCAGTTTGCCATGAGCTCAGCAAGCAATTGATGCGATCAAAGGGAAATCTTTCTTTTTACACACACTAGACAAGTCACTCTGTTGATGGAAATGTAGCAGACGGAGGCTGACATCGCCTCTATTCATGTCTGCCACATCTGGGGGAGATAGCCTCTTACACAGTCAGAGGTAATAGGGAAGAAAGGCAGACTAAATCCAAGCTGACTGTGTGGAGCAGGCTGTGCTAATCTAATTTACCAATAAGTCTGATCCAACAGGGTGCCATAAAAAGAAGCCCACACCTCCTCAGCTGAGTGCCTGATGGAAAATGGAAGGAGAGGAAGAAAGAACGATGAAGATGAGGTCACCTTGAGGAGTTTTTTCTTTTATGGATGGGACTGAATCTACTTTCCGGGATGTATTCACCAGCCATTGAAAATGAACCCAATAATAACCAGTGCCCCAAGGAATAGAAGGATAGAAGGGCCTGGGTAAATGATGGAGTTATGAATATGTGAGGGTTGTTTAAAGGATACGTTTTTCTGACCTGCTTTCATGTTCACTTACATATGTTTTTCATTCCCTGGCAATACGTTTTCCATTCCCACAGAAAGCCCAAGCTACAAAAGCTACTACCATCAGCTGATATGGTATAGCTGTGGTAACAACTAGGCCACTGCTGTTGCTGTAATGACTACAGCTTATATGATCACCAAGGCTTTGCTACAGACATTAAATCTGTGTTTAATGTCTGTAGCACTACATTTAATGGTTGTGTATGTGCCATAGACTGTGTAAGAAGTAGGCATTATCATCGTGACATCACCCATTGGTTTGTGGACTGCCGTTTTGAAGCCTCAAGTTTGGCAGTTAGTTACACAGTGCCGTGGGTACGAGTCACTCTAGCCTGATTGACAGGTCGCCATGGTAACGACTTGTCAATCACAGATAGTCCCGCCCTGAAGCATTCTCTGCTTTATGGTCTATTTTCCTCTAAATGGGACCATAATTTACTAAATGAACATCATGCTGTATTAAAGAAGACATGCGATTGAGACCATAAACTCATTATGAAAGTGTTTACTGAGGTAATTAATCAGGTGAGAAGTAGGCTCATTTTACCATTTCTATAGACCCAGACTTCTTTTTGCAACAAGAGGACTCACCCCCAGGCGGCACAGTGGTGCAATGTTTAGCATTGTTGCCTCACAGCAAGAAAATCATGGGTTCAAATTCCGGTTGGCCCGGCCTTTCTGTGTGGAGTTTGCATGTTCTCCCTGTGTCTGTTTGGGTTCTCTCCAGGTGCTCTGGCTTCCTCCCACCGTCCAAAGACACGCGGCCTAGGTTGATTGGTGACCCTAAATTGTACTTAGGCGTGAGTGGTTGTTTGTCTATGTGTGGCCCTGCGATGCACTGGCGACCTGTCCAGGGTGTACCCCGCCTTTTGCCCGATGTCAGCTGGGATTGGCTGGATGGATGGACTCGCCCGCTGCTGGCCGTTTGATAGGGACTGCCGCATTTACCTCCCTTTTCAGACCCGGAGGTTCCTGCTTGGTGTGTGAAGCATTTAGCCACAGTTACAGCCATACCAATAACCAAAGCTGCAGCCATAGCCAAAGAAACAGCTAGAGTTGTTGTCATAGCCGTAATC